GTGAAGAGGTCAAAAATGAGATGCACTAAATGTCTTGTCTTGGGTCATAATGTAAGGACTTGTAAAGCACTTGAACAAGCTACAAGACAACCAAAAGGTAAGGGTGGAAGAACAAGAATGGTTAGAGGCATAGGTGGTGTAGGTGGTGGTAGAGATGAAACTATTACTGGCAGGAGTGGGAGGAATTCTACTACAGAAGGTGGGAGGTCTGCTAGCAGAGGTGGTGGTAGAGGTAGTATGAGAGTTAACAGAGGTGGTGTGAGAGTTAACAGAGTTGCTACTAGGGGTGGTGGTGGTGTTCACATAGGTGGTGATGTTCACATAAGTGGTGGTGTTCACATAGGTGGTGGTGGCAGACCTGCTAGAGGTGGCAGAAGTGGTGGCACAGCTGCTACAGCTGGTGGCAATGGTGGCACAACTGGTAGAGGTGTTGGCAGTACTGCTAGAGATGGTGGCAGTGGTGGCAGTGGTGGCAGAGTTGCTAGAGGTGGTGGCAGTAGTGGCAGAGCTGGTAACAGACCTGTTGTACTTCATTCAAAGGTAAAAATTATATTTTTTTATTTCATATTTATTATACATTATAAACACATGTAGGTTGACATTTTTTGCTTTATTTAATAGCCATTAACATCCACCCAACATTATCGTGTTGGTCTTGGTCTTGGTGGAAGAGCTATTGTTGGTCATTCAGATGTATTATTATTCAACCTCTTATTATTTTATTTTACATTACATTAAACAAAACTGAACTAACACATACTTTCCATCCATTGAATAGGCATCAACATCCACCCAATATAAAGTGGTTCATATGGACTTTCCTTCCACACTTAACACACAAAAATGATGGCATATTGATGAAAGTGGTAGCAGCTTTTTTGTGCAGCTTTTTTGGTGGACAAATTGAAGAAATGGTTGGCTGCATATTAGTATTTTCTTATGTTTTTAATGTAAAGCTAAGTAATGACAGTGGTGGGTTTATTTTGGACAGTGCTGGGTATTTTGTACTAATGGTGTAATGTGGATGGTTTATTTTAGACAGTGGTGGTTTTTTTAATGTGTGGTTATTTTGGACAGTGAATGTGTTGGTTTATTTGACAATGCATGGCAATGTAATGACAATGGCTGTTTTTAATGTATGGCTATTTTGGACTATGAATGTGTTGGCTTTTTTGACAATGCATGGCAGTGTAATGATAGTTAATGTTTTTAATGTATAGCTATTTTGGATAGTGAAGCTGTTGGTTTGAATATATATATGCAACTTTACGTTAAATGCATTTTGACAAATTGTAACTTGTCACTTTGATTTTGTTCATGCAATTCGAAACACAAGGCTCAACACTTACAATTCTACAATTTAACTTCAACATACACTTTTACTCATGCACTTGACAATTCAGAAAGTACATTGCATACACACTTAATTCATACGGCTTCAAAATATATTTTGCATACACAGCCTCATATTAAAACCAACTGACTACTTTCTTCCTAAAGCTATTATACATGCAATAACACAGAACATAACAAATGCTACAACTAATTGCTTCAGAATTTTTTGGATTTATTCCATACTTTTTCCCATTGCTTCCAAACGGAACTTCAGTTCTGCAATTTCACTAAACTTGTTTTCATCTGTTTCAGTATATGCTAGCATTGTACAAATCGGATCACACCATGCCCATAAAGAGCATTTTTTTTGTACCACAAGAATAGTATATCCTCCCTTTGTTGTTATACTCATCTGAACATGTAACTCTCACTACAGCTGGATAGCCACAACCACATATTATGTTGTTATACCTGAGATCTTGCCGATTAATAGATTGTGTGCTCAAAGAAGACATTTGGGTTCCCTGATCGCGGGTTAGGGCTTCGAATAGGGCATAGAGTGGCTACGATTTTGGGCTTCAAATAATCAATTGGGGATTTCAATACATCGATTAGGGCTTCAAATCATCAATTGAAGAATTTAAAAGATCAATTAGGGCTTATGATACTGCTGCTATGGAGAATCCTCAAACCACTTCAATTATAGACAAAAACAAGAGAATACAAGAGCAAAGAGAGAATAGAGAAGAGAAAAGAAGGCACTTAACGAAGAGATAAGAAAGAAGACTGCAAGTTAATGAAGAGAGAAGCGATAGTAACGAACGAGAGAAGAGATCTTTTATGGCTGCAATCCTCACTAACCAATGCAATGTAACGACAGAGAAGGAAGGAGATAAACAATGCATAACCGGGAGGGTGGGGTTAGATAACAAACCTAAAGGGTTTTTTCGTCATTTCCATACAATAAGGGTACTTTCATCATTATATTGGGGTATCTGGTGCACGTGACACTCACGTGATTAGAAGACGTTAGTTTTAGACGGTCAACTAAAGGGGAGGGGATCATATGATAGATTTTAAAATATGTTGAGGGGTTTTATGATAGTTTCCGTACTTGAGTGGGTTAGTAGATACTTTTTTAAAACAAAAGGGGGGTTTTTAGAAATTAGCCCTATTTTATTTTTGGCAATTATCGTAAATAAAACAAGTCTAAGTCGAGTTGTAATTCAAATTACTTATTCTGCAAGTTATCAAGTTTGACAGCGACTACAGAACTGGGAAGTTGTTCAAACTTACCATGCTTGAAGATTTTTTTGAAGAAAAAGATAAGAACAACACTTTAGGAAAGATTCTAAACAGGGTTGGACACATTCTACACTTTTCATTTTTTTTCAGAACTTACCATAGAATGATTTTAGGCTGAAAGAACCAAAATTTCAAGGTCTGCCAAACTTGAACTAGTTCAGCCCCTCTGAACTGGTTCAAGATGCTCAAGTTTGGCTTCGAAAATTTTCTGCCAAACTTGAACCGGTTCAGCCCATCTGAACCGGTTCAAGGTGTCCTGTTCACTATCCAACTTCAGTTTCTTTATCCTGAATTGTTTCCCAGTTGGTCTAGAATTGTACCAAATCCTATGCACTGATTTTTTTCTTATTTTCAGAGGGATTAGGTCATTCTATACTCTATATAAACCATGTCATATACAATGGTTTATTTATGACTTTTGCATTATCAATTTGTTATTCTCAAAAAGCCTTAGGAAGATTTTTCGTCTCAGAAATTCTTAGAGAATTTTCCGTTTGTCTTTCTAGAACATATACACATAAACACTTGAGTTTAGAGTTGTGTTGTTCGAATCCTGATCGTGATCATACAGTTGCATCTACATCGATCAGACAAAAGCAGATCTACTTTTACATCAAATCCAGAAGTTGAATAAAAGTAAAAGCGATCACACTTTGAAAGAGTTGGAGCATTCGGGGAGTGTTGTCAGATCTACCTGCTACTCTTCCACAAAGATCAAGCATAAGCCTGAGGTCAAGTTACTGTTGGATGGGGAGTCGTAAAGCTAGATGATTGTCAGCAGTTGGTGTTTGGTCGAACGATAGGATGTGAGCCAGAGTCAAAGTTCAGTGTACTTTGTTTCAAGCATAGTTGATTGGTTTACTTTGGACTGCACAGTCCACGAGATTTTTCCCATACAAACAGTTGACGTATTTTATCAACTGTGGTTTCTTCGCTAAAATCCCGGTGTTATCTCTAACTTTACTTTGCTTTATTTTAGATTGCATGATATTAATTTATTAATTGTTAAAATAAAGTAAGTTAAAAAAACACAAGATTTGTTTTTTTTAAAATAAACGAAACTTTCTAAGTATTTTTGCTGTGTACGACTCACAAGTCTAATTGACTATGGCTGACATGGAAGTTTTTATTAAAGGTTTTGGTTCAATGTGCCTCTATTTTTAGCAAGGAAACTCTAATCGGTGAAAATCAACCAATCGATGGAGAAAAACCTTGAAGACTTTTGGTGTTTCGAGCAAAACAATCCACTAGTTTGATTCTTAAATTTTGTCTCCCTTGGTTTTATCAGTGTCTATTCTGCAATATATAATGTATACAGCATCATGGATCATATAAATGACCTTATTTTGTTTTTCTAAATTCTAATCACCTAAACCAATAAGTGAAACTTGGACAGTCTGTCATCACTTTATTGTCTCACTTTATTTCCTTGCACATTTTAACCATATGAATATATATATATAGAAAGGATATAGCTTCACTGAAACAACAATGTAGAATCAGAACTCTTGTCAAGTCGACAAAAAGTTAGTTTTCAATATTCTCAGAGGACACACACACACACAAAAACATTAAATTTGAGTCTTTTTAAGTCTTGTTTTTGGAGGTCCATGTTTTGAAGGGAAGTTCAAAGTTTTCAAATATCTTCTGTCTTTATCATAATCCTTAATGTATGCACTTGATGATTTATGAAATAATTTTTTTTTTTTTGATAAGTGATTTATGAAATAATTTTTAATTAATAAGTAATCTTCTTAGATCTACTTTCAACAAAGTCAATTGTAGAAAGAAATAATTGTCTTATAATTTTTTTTTTAACTTAATTTTCATACTGCTAACTCAGCCCCCTGCAAGAAAAAATTTCCAGAGTCTGCCTCTGGGTGACTGATTTTGCCGAACAATGATTTAGTCTTTACATTTAGATATAGTTCATCAATGGTGAAAATTTCACCAATTCAAGTAGGAATTTCAAAAACTCACGTTTTTCCCTTCAGCTTTAATTTTTTTTCCCCACATATTTGAGAAATAATTCACTTATATCTTCCCAATTGTGCCTCATGGAACTGACAATTATTCAACATGGAAATGTCTTAACAATGGCAGTTTCATATAGCATCACTAAATGGATTAAAAAACAGCATGATTAAAAGAGAGAATAAAAATGTACCACATGAGACTGTGACAAGTTTTTGAGAAATGCAATTAAAGAGCAGTTCAAATACATAAATCCAACTCTAGAAATAAAAAACTAGTATTGACATACACTTTGGATAATAAGTTATATTGAAAAGGCTATTTTATTCTGAGCAGTTCTTTTGATCTCTTATTGTCATGCAACAAGAAAGTAACATATATATAGATTACCGACCTTCAACATTCAACTCGAAAGATGGAGAATCATCTAGAGTCTGACAAGCTCCGTCAATGCTGCACACTTGAACGATGAAATTGAGACTAGAAGTGCCGGTAGGAATGACAAGATCAGAAACATAAAAGGCGTCCACTCGTGCCACTCCAAGATACTCCTGCACACCTTCAAGCATTTTGCTCAATTTCTCCACATAAATGTTGTACTGTGGGAATAGAGAAGCATCTCCATCTTTCAGTTTCCAAATGACCTTGACACTAAGGGTCTTTGATCCCTGAGAACCCGAAGTCCATTTAATATACTGACCCTCAACTAGCCATGAAGTAGATGGAGGGAAACTCGAGTTCTGCTCAGATGTTTTAACTGTGATGTGGCCTAGCAGTGCAAAATATTCTGATGGACCGCGAGCTAAGGCATTATCTTCGCCATTTGATCCAGAATTTAGTATCTGTTTACCGAGTTCAGGCTTTGATCGATAGCAAACAGCATGTATTTCTGTTAATGTGTATCCATTCATTGAAATGCTACTCTCCTGTATGACCCATCCTGGTGCAGTTTCTGGTTTTGTAACTCGACAAGGCATGATCACTTTACCAAATTTTGTTGACAACTGGTTTATTGTAAGCAAGGTTCTTCCCCGGGATGCAAGAAGTACTGATGTTCTCTCCTTCAGGGTAGAAGAGAACTCCAGAGAAAGGCCTACCAGGGAGCTCTCATCAGATTTCACCTGCATAAAAGACAGTGGCATCAACAGCTGAACAAAATGAGAATGGGAAGACACAAACTCGTATGCAGATTTTTCTTTCTTGGTGTTCTTGATTGTATATAATTCTACAATGCTCCAAACATTCTCTTGAAGAGAGTTAAAAACAGAAAATAAAAAAGTTTTCATAGTGTCCATAAGAGAGATGACAACAGTACATAAAGCTGAGACAAAATTAACATCGGATAAATTAATAAGGAAAGACCCTAATAATACTAAATATCGAGAACAGTAGGAGGAAATCATGAGGCCGACCACATTCAATTGGGATAAGGCAAGGATGATGATTATGGTATTACGACCAATGGTAGTATTTTGTAGACCATTGTGATGACAATCCTAACCATTCTAACATATCTGATTTGGATGGTTAAAATCATCCATGGGGTCTGATATTTTACATAGTATGACTCCACTGAGAAACATAAATCACACGATTTCGATCACTTGTCAAATGATGTTGTCATTGACCAGAGGAACAGAAGGACATCAACCTAACCTTAATAGCCAGGTCTAACAAGTCACTCTCAACTACAGATTGTTTGAGAACCATTTTGTTTGCAAGTTTTATTCACAAATGAGATGGCTTACAGAATATGTAAAGTAGATTGGTAAATCCCCCAAAAGAAGCTCTCCCTGAAAGAGCTTTGTTGTGAAATACGCATTGTCTTCAAGAGATCCTTTAAAAGTGACGTTCCCTCCTCCGCTATAAGATGCTTCCTTAAAACTTCCATTTGAAAACATATGCTTAATTCAAGCAGAAGAATGGTACATAAAATCTAATCCAACTTTAGAAACAAAATTAGTCGGAAATAGAGAATTTGGAAAAAAAAAAAAAAAACCGGTTACATCAAAATCAATTAAAGCTACTACAGACAAGAACAGTTTGCATTTCAAGTGGTTACTGATCCAAGTGGCGGTTCACTCATAGATGTATTAGCTAACCATGAAACATAAGGTGTGGTTAGAATTATTTTTATTCTTAGGAAAATCAGAAATTTTTCCTTTTCTAAATTGATTAACAGAAAAGACTGGGAATATCTGAAGTTCCATTTAAACTCTAAATGTTTGTTGAATAATATTCCAATGGCATGTGTTCCAAAAGTTCAACTGTTCTACATATGACTGAAGAGTAATGATGGTATATGAACAAAATTTTCATAAGCTTTTCCATTCAGAATGATATGGTTCATTTGGTTTTATCACTTTGAAACAAAGGCCCTCAATGTGTATTGTAATTTCAAAAATGTCACTGTTGGGGTATATACACAAATCATGTCTGTTCTATTTTCTTGGCTACTTCATGTGACTAATTGGTACATATACTTCCGAGTGGAAATAAAAGAATAACACATAGGCTAAAAGAAAATTTATGTAGGACCGTTATTAGACTAGCTATATTGTATGGAGCATAACGTTGGGCCCCAAAAAAGAAACAAGAACAACGCTTTCATGTAGCAGGAATGAGAATATTAAGATGGATGAGTAGAGTGACTAGAAGAAATAGGGTCACTAATGAAAATGTGAGAGAAAAAATAGGGGTGGCACCCATTGGTGAGAAAATTAGAGAGAGTAGACTTATTACTTGCGTAGTCTGGGCACATACATTAGAGACTTAGAGACGCGTCAGTCAAACGAGGAAGGCTAGTTGTCATAGAAGGTAAGAGATAGAGATGCCAACCAAAAATTACATGGGATAAGCTTATTAAAAGTGACTTTAAAAAGTTACATATAGTGGGCGAATGACATGTAAGAGAAAAGATTGAAGACAGAGAATTCATGTAGCCGACCTCATCCATATGGGATTAAGGCAGGGACGATGATGACGACGACGACTCCCAAAGTGGAAATGATAGCCATATAAAACACAAACTGCAAAGAAATAAAAGAGAGAGCAATAAAACTTACTCAACAAGGACTTGAATTGAATTTGGGGTAGGCTCTCCAAAAAACTCAGGTAAGGCTGTAAAAATAAAGTTAATTAGGAAAAGGTAAAAATGGACATGCTACAAGGACAAAAATCATAACACTGATGAGAAAGATGATAATAGCAGGAAAAATAGTTTTGTCGCATCTTCAAGAGCCTGATAAGTTAGTACACAGTAAAAACTCATAACAATTCTAAAGTCAAATATGATAATAGCAGGAAAATTGAGCAAAAATGCTTGTCCATAAGAGTGTGTGTGTGTGTGAAAGAGAGAGTATTCTCCTTGATAATTTGGATAACTAAAAATTCATATAATGACATGAATAATTTCACTTCTTCTTGTAATTTTTATAAACATATCCTTGATAATCTGTAAAATTTACCTAAATGAATGTAACTTTTAACATTGTCAAAACATCAACTGAAATTTTTTGATTTGTGAAGAGCAAGTAGTGCATTTACAGAGTGAGGTCATTATCAACATTCTATTCCCATATAGAAGTTTGCATTGCTTATCAAATTCCTCCCAAGTACAACTAGGGAAAATTAATTATTAAGTACAAAATTTGAAGTTGAAACTTTAAGTAATTGCAGTCCGTCCATCTTCGCTGAACCATGAATACCAGGCACTTTAAGTAGGACTCCAATGTGGGATATGGTTTTATTTCCTCAACATTTTTGAAAAATATTTTATTCAATACAAATTTTTTCTCTCTCTCATTGCTGGTACTCTCTTCATACCCATGCCATGACATGAAGTTCAAAGTTCATCAGAACTGATTTACTGGGCAGCAGTTGTTAAAGCATTGTGACATAGATTAAGCAATTCGATACCAATCACATGAACATAAGTTTATGAAAGAATGGATTCTTGGATGCGATGGTGTCAAGACCTTGGTCTCTACAACAGTTAATGTTGAGAAGAAAATTAATTTATATAATTTCCCAAAAAAAAAAAGTTAATTTATGAAAATACAAATGGTGTGTGGAAAAGTTGAAACCAGCAACATATATTTTTAGGCCATGAAAAGGAAACAACCCAAATGATCATATCAGAGTGAGAACTGGGGGAAGAAGGAAGGCGAGAAAAAGAAGGAATAAAAAAAAAGAAATAGAGAAAGAGTTCATACCTGAAAGCTTTGAGAAGAAATGTTGTTCCAAGGAGAATTCAGTACTTGCCCTCCGTCAACGAAAATATGGTAACCGTGTCCCTAAACAAGTTACACAAATATTATGTGATCAAAGAAGAAGAAGAAAAAGAAAGAAAAAAAAGAACAAAAGAGATATATAAAGTTACAAACCTGATCAAAATTTGAGTAAAAAGGAAGTGCTCTTGGGTAATTCTGTAATATTCCCCATGATTTTTCAACAAGGGACCACCAACTGAAAAATCCACAGCATATCACAAATGAAGGTGATGAAACAATTGCAACACTATACACAATTTAGCAGGAAGATATAGAACAAAAAAATAATAATAATAAAATAAAATAAAATAAAGGGTTAATCATGGAGCCACCAAGAAAGGGATAGATGTAAACTTAAACATTATTCTCAACATACGAATCTATAAGAGCAAACTGACGCAAAAATATATCAGACGTGTGGACAAGGATGTTGTGTCGATAAATGCCCTACATATTAATGATTGACAAATGTTTTAATATCATAGCTTCTAACAAAAACTATAAACCAACCCAAAGAATTTTAAAAAAATTAAATTATAAGCATATTAATTAGAAGTAACAGATAAATTAGTTGAAACTTTGCAACAAGAATTGAGTTCATTACTGGTTCTGAGCAGTCTGAAAATCAGGCGGTTGCTTAGTCTCGTATACCCATCCAGGAGCATATATCGCAGCTGACACGTCATCTTTCTTCAGCACATCAAGTGCAACATTTGTCTGAGGTGCAAAATGTTATTACAGTTATACAGCATTTCATAATCTTCCAACAATTGAATAAAGGACATTTAAAAAAGTTAATTCGAACACAATCACCACCAACTCCAAGTAAATAGCCTAAATTCAATTCATAACATGGTGTTATGTTTACTAACAATTTCCAACAGTTATATATGATATCTAGATCACATACATTCCACTGTCCACCACCATAAGTGCCCCTTCCGAAAACATCAATGCCCATGTAGACATCAAACTTTCTGTCACCGGCAACTTCAGCTGAACGTTTAGGATAGTCTTCCTGCATGGCGCGAAAGAAAATATGTATGCACGAAAACTGGAACACCTAAATCAAACTTCCGACTAAGAGAAAAAAAAAAAGGCAATACCTCCCATGAATAATTCACAAATATGCCATCAGATATGTCAAAGAAAGGCTTATTATTTTCATTCAGTATGTTTTGCCAGATTAGATCACCATTAACAGTAACACTATCATACCTGCATAGTCAACAAATTAAATGACAGAATAAAAAGTAATATACATTTCGTTATCCCATTTTTCAACGAAATGCATCCAACAATAACTGAGCCTTTTTCCCAACTACTTGGGGTCGGTTACGTGGTTAGGAAAGCGGAATCAACTAACTCTTACCATATGACTAAAGATCCAGGCATTGAAGAGTGCATGGTACTAGTTAAATGGATGATGAATTCTTTCAGATTAGGGATTTGCCCAACATCCAAGTCAACCTCCATATTTAACTGCAAATAACAGTCCCAAGGTCAACAACGATAAGAATGACCATTTTAGAGAATGACCATTTTACTACAAGTAAAACGAAGTAGTAAAGTTTACCCTTTTTTTTGTCAAAACCATTAAAGAAGCACTTAAGAATTCACATTTTTGTCTATGTACAGTAGGAATTTTCCGAGTTGTTGAGTTCTAGTTCTAAGATTTCTTTCTTGAATAGCCAGATTTATACAGTTTTTTTGTTACCAAAGAATGTAAATCTATAAACATGTACATTCATAACGAAGAACCTAAAGAGCCTAGTAATGGCTGTGGATATATGCATCATATAAACAACTAGAAATGGCATTCTATGTCAGGCTGAGGCATTCAACACCAAACTTCATATGCACTTGGAATTCGGAAAATAAATAATAAATAGGGTAAAGAATACATATTTAAAAAGAAAAATTCACCAGCCATCCATCAAAGCCCAAAGCAACAGCTAGCTCAGTCAAGCGCTCGGCATACATTTGAGCAGACTCCTTCGTCGAGAGTAGTTTGTCAGCAATAACTCTGCCTTCATCCCATTCTACGATGAAAGTCCCCAATACCTTATTCAACATAGGCAGAAGCAACATGATCATCACATACAAACACAACTATCAATTTCCAATACAGAGTGTGTTTGTGTGTGTGTGTTTGTGTGTTTTAAGCCAATTTCAGTTTCAAGTGTCAATCCCAATACAAAATTGCTTAGACTATGTTCGGCTATATGGAATTGGAGTTTTGGAATTGAAATGGATGGAATTTGATAAAAGTAATTCAGAAAATTGAATCAAAAATTTTTCCAATTCCAAGGCTCCAATTCCATGCAGCTGAACGCAGCATTAACTTCTTTCCATTCTGTTTTTCAAGCCAATCGATCAATTCAAATAGCCACAATTTCTTATTTGATTACACTAATCCAAAACACATACGCAATTGATACAACAATGGACAAACCTTGACACCATGTTTGTGAGCTGTATTAATCCAACAAGTAGGTGGAAGGGTAACAAAGCTATGCGAAAAATACACGAAAACATCAATCAAGTACCAGTGCCAAATCGCATAAGCATCGGCATTGGTCCCCCCTTGGACCCACTTATCATCCAAGTACCCTCCGGCCATGTCATGGCACACAAGAATTCTGGGACGGTCAGCCAAAGAACCATTATCAGATGGAAGAGTCACCGAAGCTTTGTTGAATGGGAAGTGAAATGAGTCAAAATAGACCCTCGATTCGAGGTCTTCTAGGGTTTTGATGGGGTATGAGATTGGCACAGAGGGCTGGGATGGATCGAAAGGTGGAGGATCGGAGGAGGAGTGGATGTTCTTCTTCTTGTTATCATTTGGATTCATTTTAAGGAGGAGAGAGAGAGAAAAGAGTGTTATGAATTGATCCGAGGAAAGCTTGTATGGAGAATAGGGTTTGGCGATTTATATAAGCGCGAAAGAGATTCAGCTTGGGAAGTCAACTGTGTGTGAGTTCGATAGAAACGACGAAGAAAAGTGGCTGTTTGGATTTATTGTTTGTAGTTAGTTGCTACCTGGACGTTGGTTTGAACAAATTTTCCCGCGGTTAATTCATATGCAACCTCACCGGGGGTGTTTAGTAATTTTGTTTTTGCTGAGTGGAAGCAGAAAACAAAAATGTCCTTTATTAAAACTTGTTTTGGGCCTTTTGGCACGCAATATTTATTGCAACAAATAAATAAATAAAAACTTTTTAATATTTTATATTATTTAGTTCATTCATTGGTATCATAAATTTTTTAAATATAAAAAATATTTAACACTTATATAGACCATATGTCGCACCAAATAAGAAGAGAGTTTTTAAAGAATTTGTTACGTTTTGGTGCCAGTGGAATGAACTAAGAAGATTCCACTCCTTGGAATGACCGTTTTCATAAAAATGTTGGAATAAACATTTAAAATATGATAAATTAAAATATTTTTACTTACATATAATATAAAATAACTATGGTATATAATATTATAAAATTTCTATCACATATGATTTATTAATATTATATAAAATAAATAAATATTTTTGCATCAAAAGGTTATTTACGCTGTTTACTAAGTATGATATTTTTTAAAGGCTGACAATAGAAAATAGGATACATGCTCCTTAATAATCACATTCAATAGTAAATGTTATCAATTTCACTCACCAATAAAACATGTTTAAATTGTGAAATGCAAAGAGCAAACCGATGTGTCTTAATAAATAATAGTAAAATTCAAATAGCAAAATGACATTGCCTTAATAAATGAGTGACAATGTCCCTTTTTGATAAATGACTAAATTCTCTTCATGAAATACCTAGGCTCCGTTTGTTTAGAAGTAAAATAATTTTTAAAAATATATATATTTTTAATTTTTTGAGATTTGGTTGTCATAAAATATTTACTTAGAAAAAATATATTAAAATTTTGAAAAAATAACTTATCCATCAATTTTTGACAAATTATTTTACATGCCTCGCCAGATGGATTCGACCTCAATCTCAACGTAAATCTTTGCCAAATACAGACAAAGTAAAAATAAAAGAATATTTTACCCTAAAAAGAAAAATTGTGAAGTTTCTCATTTTTCTATTTTTGTGCGTTTTTTGAATTTTCAGAATTTATTTAATTTTTGTACCTCGTTTTGCGTGTCACAAGGGCGCCGAAGGGCATTTTAGTCATTTTCTTGAGCAGAGGGTTCTAGAGGTATATTTTAGTCATTTAGAGGTGGTGGTGTCATTCTAAAAATTTGTTCAAGGTCGGAACGATTTTCGGGTTCAGGAACTTCTCCCGGTTTTCTCATTTTAAGTGAGGGGCATTATGGATATTTCACTCATATATTCATGCATGTATCTTCATTGTTGGGAAGATATTTTGGAGGACAGAGGAGGCATTATATTAAATGAGCAAGGGCAAGATTGAAAGTTCACCAAAAATAGAAACCATTGGTGGCATGACAAGTGGCACCCTAAGGGCCAAGGCTTCAATTGTAAGACCAAACCCTCCTTTTCTTTCCCTTCATTTTCATGCATCTCTCTCTAGGTTCCTCCCCCTTCTCTCATTATATCTATACTTCAATTATATGTCACATATATTTAACCTTGGATTTGGGGAGATTAGGGGGTGTTTTTGGTGATGCCATAGAGAGGAAGTTGATGAGCTTGAGGAGGGCTTTCATTTGGCACCAATATTGCTTGGGTTTGGAAGAGTTCAAAATTTGGCTTAGCCTTAGGCCTTGATTGGCTAATCACTTTGAGGTAGGGGTTTTCCTAATGTTTAAATTTTGATTCAATTTAAACAAATTTCTATTATTTTTTTATATATGTTGCAAATCATGAAATTTGATATAAACTTGTTAAGTTGTGAATGTCTCTATATGTGTAAATCATGAGTTGTTTAAACCTTGAGTTAATGGTTTACTTAATTTTGTTATGTGAAAATTTTGAGAATTCTTGAACATGCCTTACTTGGGATAAAGATGTCCTTGTTGTGTTGATCTTTTTAAGTATGCCATGGATGTTACTTGACTCTTATAGGATGAATTGATGATATTGTTGGTGCAATAGTGATGAACTTATGATTTGAGGTTGAAAATCATTATAATGCATACTATGGCATGAAAAGGAGATTTAGAGGTAATTTGAAAGGAAATTTTGTTTTATTAAAAAAGTGAAGTTTCTTTAAGGAAGGGAAGTGTTTTTTTTAAAAAAAAATGAATCGGATTTCGCGAGTCCGGGGCTAGCTTGACCTAGAGGGAGTGCGACCCGGTTTAGGGCGTGAAAAAGTTGATACTAGGCCCTTTAACGATTGCCAAGCATTGCCAGAAATGGAACCGGGATTAGTTATCAATCTCGCCTCAGTAAAGTCAGTTAGTGGGTTTTCGAAAAGTGAAAGATGGGTCGGTATAGACCAGGTTTGGGATGGGTGAATCATATTCCATATATGCAAATCATTTTGTAGAATTGTGTTATGTGTTGAGTTTGTTGCCTATAAGTTGTAAATATTGTGTGGACTCCCATTGCATGACCCCGGTTCCTTATCATTCCTTTATGTGTTACGTGGCTCAAGGGAGTCCAAAACTACCTTAAGCGACTTCTACTGAGCTTTATGCTCACCCTTTTATTAATAACATTTTTCAGGTCATGGCAAAGAATTGGCGGACAATAACCCACCACCAGTTTAGTCGAGTTGATGAACTTGACTCTTTTGTGCTTAATGATCTTAACCCTTTTGTTGTAAATAATATTAGGGATCAATTTGTATCTTCCACATGGTTGGAAATGGTCTTGAGACCATTCTCTTGTATTTTGTGGTCTCATTATGATTTCAACATCCATGTAAAGCCTTAAGGCCATATTTTTGATGTATGACGAATTTGCTAAATTTTAATGATGTGTCGGACTTGTGTATGGTCTTATTCGATCTTAGTATCATTTAGTAATGTTAGTTTCATCATTGTACTGAGGATTTGAGACAAGTTTGCGCTTTGAGTAAGGTCACCAAGGGACCAAAGGAGTGCCTAAGTCCACAAGATCAATTTTAAGCATTTTCTGGGTTGATTTTAAGGTTCTGGACATCTTGAACCGGTTCAGCCCCATTAAACCGGTTCAAGGGGTGCATTTGGTTCACGTATGGGCTTACTGCCCATCTTGAACCGGTTCAAGTCCTCCAATGTGTCATTTTTGCCTTGACAACTTTGATCACCAGATTTCAAACGGTCATAACTTCTTCGTTCCGAACCCAAATAGGGTCATTCTTGAGTCCATTTTCAAGGATTTTGAGTTAGCTTTCCAATGAGACCAACGTCATCCTCAAATTCCACTCATGTTAAGAGTTATGATAGTTTTAGTGGGGCAGTGTCGGAATTTCCCTTGAACCGGGTAAGGGTACTTTTGGGAATTCATAACCAATGGCCGTAGAACTTCACCGAATATCATGGAATGACTAGAATGACTGTTTTAAACCTCATTTGACTAGTTTAAGGTCTTATTATCCCCTTATATTGTGAAATAACCATTTTACCCCTGATGTGTCATCGGATTTGGTGAAAGACCCAATTAGCGATCCGGACCCCCGGTTTGGATCGTTACAAAAATATTTTTCAAAAAAAATATTTTATGTCGAAACAAATGAAACCTTAATACGTAAGAGAATTTAAGTTGTTCTCTCTCTTTTATAAAAATATATAATTGAGTTTTTCTTTTTATTTTTACGCCTCAATTCTAAAGTTTAAGTTCAAATTCATCACTCCGTTTTAGAAATAAAAATTCTTTTCTCCCAAATTCAAAAGCCAGAGAAAAATGAGGAAAGGCCCCACTCCTCTCTCTCTCTTAAAATGGGGAACCTCATAATTTATTGATTATTATTACATGAACATAAAAACGTAGCGTTACAAAACCATCTTGGCACAACATTAGCTATATTTGAAATGACGACAGAGTACAATTAATCACATAAGCATTCACTGAGAGTTCAGTCCCGCTACAACACACTTGACAGATACAAGAGACACATTATTCACCCTCCCTCAAAAGGAGGCGGCTAAAAGGCAACATACATAGATTGCTAACCTTCAACATTCAGTTGAAAAGACGGAGAATCATCTAGAGTCTGACAAGCTCCATCGTTGCCGCACACTTGAATAATGAACTTGAGACTAGAAGTGTCCAAAGGAACGACAAGATCAGATACATAAAAAGCTTCCACTTGCGCCACCCCAAGATACTCCGGCACACCGTGCATTTTGCCCGTTTCACCAACAGCATTAGTTGCTAGCTTCTCCACATAAATATTGTACTTTGGGAATTCAGAAGAATCTCCGTCTTTCAATTTCCAAAGGACCTTGACGCTAAGGGTCTTTGATCCCTGAGAACCTGAAGTCCAGTTAATATATTGACCTTCAACTAACCATGAAGTAGATGGAGGGAACATCGAGTTCTTTTCAGAAGTTCTAACTGTGATATGGCCCAGCACTGCAAAATATTCTGATGGACTGCGAGCTAAGGAATTATCTTCATTAACTTCAGGATTTGACTGATAGCATACGGCATGAATTTCTGTTAATGTGTATCCATTCATTGCAATGCTACTCTCCTGAATGACCCATCCTGGGGCAGTTTCAGGTTTTGTAACTCGAATTGGCCTGATCACTTCACTAAAGTTGCTTGATAACTGGTCCACTGTACTTCCAAAGGATGCAAGAAGAACCGATGTTCTCTCCTTCAGGGTAGAAGAGAACTCCAGCAAAAGGCCTACCAGGGAGTTCCCATCTGATTTCACCTGGCACAGAAAGTGGCATCAACAGCTGAACAAATGAAAATGCTAAAACACAAACTAGGGACGTAGTGCTGCTGTTCAGGCAAGCATCAATCCGATATTTATTTCTTATATAGCCATAGATCTGACATAATTCTGGGGACCAAGGAATGTTGTTTACAGATGAGGCATTCACCACTGGAATATGATAATCTACAAATACAAACATTATCTTGAAGAGGACAAAAAAAAAAAAAAAAAGGGTCCCAGATTATCCCACGAGAGATGACAAGATGGACCTTCCAAAGGTTTCTGACAATGAACTAGAATAAATAGAACTGGAGACAAAACAGAACTTTTCCCCCTCTTAAGTAGATCAAATGAAAGCAGCAATAAGAAAACCTTGATCCCAAAATAGAGCTTGAGCCTTCCACATGCAGATTTAATCAAAAAAAAAAAAACTGTGGCGGAAAACAATGACCTATTTAGGTTGTCTCTGTCAAGTGAAACTGTTGTTTCCTAAACTAGTCTTTTGAATAAACTCTGAGAATATGCAAGAACCCTCACTGGTTCGATTTGCAGATCTACTTCAGGAAGAAAAATAACAGAAATGTAAATGACTTATTTTGAGTTCATAATGTCACTGAAATATTTCAGGCTCAATTTAGTAAATTAGCACCCTCCGGATTCCCCATGGCAATGTAATCCTTCAGTTTAAATCATATCTATGCTTGTCTAAGCAACGAAAAGTTCTAATCCCCTTGGTCTGGCTATATATTTCCTAAACTACAACCACTATTATTTTAATTCATCCTTAATAATAGAGAGAAAATTAAGAAGAAAAAAACTCGAGAGAGCTAATGTGATAATCGGAGGTAAACAAAAGGGAAAATATTGAGTAATTGAATGGGAATGAGGGAGAACTAGAGCAAGTGGGAACATGTGCCACCCTCATGTAGAAGTTGAAGAAATGCCACAAATGAAGCAACCACTACAAAGGAAAGCAGAGGATCAATTTTTAGTACTCAAAGAGTGACATACAACTCAAATTATCATATCATTATTATGGGATTTCCAAAGGTGCCATGTTAGAACTTGCAAAAAATCAATCCAACTGAATTTAACTGTTTTTTATTTTTATTTTCATTCAAATGAATTAAGAAAAAGGATTACTCGAGATAACTATTTTCAATATTTAGGATTAACAATAAAAAAGGAGATAGATTATGATGTAATAAGCAAGATTAGAACAGGCTAGACAAGATGGAAACAGGCCAGTGATATCCTATATTCCTATGTGATGACAGAATCAAATAGGTTAAAAAGAAAATTCTATGGGATGATTAGGCAAACTTTTTTTTTTTTTTTTTATACAGAATAGAGGATTGGTATTAAAAAAGATTCTATGACAACACATTTATGCTGCTAAAATGAGAATACAAAGATGGATGATAGGAATAACTACAAGGGACAAAATTAAATAATCTACAAATTATGAAGAAATTAGTTCTTATGAAAAAAAGAATGTAGAAGTGACACTTATTAACGATAAAATAAGAAAAAGTAAGTTTTGATATAGAATATACAAGATAGACCAATAGATGCACCAATATAAAAGGAAGATTAGTTCAATTTAGACAAAACTAATACATCGGACAAAATAATAAGAAAAGACCTTCATATATTTAATTAAATATATCAGGAGACATAACTTGTAATAGAGAAGAGTAGAAGATGAGAATCGTGTGGCTGACCCCATTCAATTGGGATAAAAAAAGGATGAGGATGGTGCCTTTTCAGACCGTTTGGTCCATCCTAACCATTCTAACAATTCTGATTTGACTGATAGTTGACGGGCTCCCATTTTTCCCCTACTCTCCACATACACCACAAATTCTAAGCTCTGATCCGTAAAAGGCAGGGTTAAGATATATTCTTCACACAATTTGGATCACTTGTAATATGACATTCTCACTGACCAGACAGAGAAAAATGGCATTGATGTTGTAATAGCCAGGTCTCACAACTTAAAATTGACCTAAGAATTGTTTGAGATACAATTTTGTTTGCATTATTTATACACAAATGAGATCGCTTACGGAATATGAAAGGTAGACCGGTAAATTCGCCAAAAGAATCTCTCCCTGAAAGAGTCTTGTTGTGAAATATGCACTGTCTTCAAGAGCTCCTTTAAACGTGATGTTCCCTCCTCCGCTATAAGACGCTTCCTTAGAACTTCAATTTAAAAACATACATTCAATCAAATGATACTTAAAATTTAATCTAACTGAAGAAACAAAATAGAGAATTTTGTGATGCACTACAGACTACAGAGGACATGTTTCTGGAGCAAGATATACAAGCAGTCAGAAGGCCCAGAACACTGGTTACAAACTTACAACCAAAAACATGAAAGGTACTATAAATATAAATTTACTGAGTATTGAAATATACTTCAATCCTAAGAAAACACAAACAAGAACAGCTCACATACCAAGTGGTTACTGATCCAAGTGGTGGTTCACTCATAGATGTATGAACACAGTTAACTACGCAACATAAGGTGTACACAAAAGTTTATTGATTCTCAGGAATATCATAGTATTTGCCGCTCTAAAATGATTCACAGGAAAGAAGGAAATATCTGAAGCTCCAAATAAAATCTAAATGTATGAAAAATATTTCAATGGTAAGTTCTCCAAAACATGAACTTTTCTACATATGACTAAAAAGTAATGATGTTATATGAACAGAATCATCAAAAAAAAATTCCATACATAACGACATTTTTCATTCGGCTTCTATCACTTCAAAACAAAGGACCTCAAGAAAAAGCACCTTATTATTTTAAAAATGTCACTGACACAGCATTCTAATTGGGGTCCATATACAGATTCTATATGTATAACATTTTCCTGTCGAAATCAGGTGAATAATTGGTACATATACTTCCCAATGGAAATGACAGCTGTACAAAAGACAAACTGCAAAGAAATAAAAGCGATATATTGATGGAGGTCCTACATCACATATGAGCAACGGAACTTACTTAACAAGCACTTGAATTGTGTTTGGGATAGGCCGTCCAGAAAACTCAAGGCAAGGCTGTAACAAATAAGATTAGTTAGGACAAGTAAAAAGGGCATACTGCAAGGACAAAAATCATAACATAACGTGTTCATTTAAAAACATAACATTGGTGATAGGACCAGAATGTACAGGAGCATGTTACAGTAAATCTGAGAATTATTTTGTTATATCTCTGACTTATGACAGGACACATGCTCCTGTAAAAACCTTGGAGACATGTTTGGTATAATTTTCTATAAATATTTTTTATTCTACAAAACTGTAGAATATGAAAATAATGTAAAGGATGCTTTTGCCAGAACATTTTGAACACTGTTTCTGTCAATGTCTTGAAACAAGTTGTCTCCAGAAAAATAGTTTTCTCGCATTTCAAAAGGCAGATAAGTTGGTACAAAGTAAAAGTATGGTGACATAGATTATACAGTTCAACTGCCATCGCAAGAACATGGTCCCAAACACAAGTTTCCGGACAATGATTTTGGGCGTTATGGTGTCAAATCACTGTATCATAGTGAGAACAGGAAAAGAAAAAACAAAAGAAAACACAAGAAAGAAAGAAAAAGTTAATACCTGAAAGCTTTGAGAAGAAATGTTGTTCCAAGGAGCATTTAGTACTTGCCCTCCATCAACAGAATAATGGTAACCATGGCCCTGAACAAGTCAAAGAAATTAGTCATTCTGTACACATGGTTTACACTGTATGGGGTCTGTTTTCCCCCATTACCACTTCTCTCTCACCAGATCTTTGCTAATTGAGAAATCCAGCATCCAGCAGGCCCCGTTTGGCATACAGGTTGAAAAGAAATTAGTTTGGTCTGATGAGTTCAACACATTAATCACACACTCTCCTTTTCTTCTATCTCTATATCTATCTATTTGTCTCCACCAAAACAACTTCACAAGTAATTCCTTTAACTACAAAATTTTATTAGAATCATGTACGAAATGGCCAAACCAAAATAATCCTTTTTTGGACAAATGATATGATAAATTGGACCGATCAAATACTCATGGTTGACCCTTCTTTTAACGTTGTCATAATAAATAACATTATGAGAGCTTAGTGGTCACTGGAGAATAATGAAGAGAATTCACTGTAACGGAGCTGAACCTCATGACTTCCCATCTACTAAATGAGGCGAGTAAGCAATAACATTTAATTCTTATAAGAAGTAAAACCAAATTCACATGACATGCTTGTAAAATTCAGAAAATGTATGTAAAAAGTCGTGTTACATAAAAATATTGTGAGATATTTTGAGAAACAGTCATCCTGAAAGCTTCCATATTCTCTGTTACTTGGAAAAAGAAATGGGGAAAAAGAAGGAAGAGAGAAAGTACAAAAGAGATACGAAATTGTAACCTGATCAAAATTTGAGTAGAATGGTAGTACTTTGGGGTAATTCTGTAATATTCCCCATGATTGCTCAACAAGGGCCCACCAACTGCAAAATTGAAAGCATATTACAGATGAAGGTGATCAAATAATTAAAAGGCCTACATGCAATTTAGAAGGAAGACATGGAACAAAAAAGGTTATATTGTGGAACCACTATGAAAGAGAAAACTGAAAACTTGTCATTAGAGGTGGAGACCTCAATAATGATAACATATTCTTACCATGTGAATCTATAAGACCAACCTGACAAACAAAAAAAAAAAACACAGATGGCAAGTATGATAATTGAATTGCTGAAATAGCATAAGGGCTAACCATTATAATTTTCAGTGACACCTTTCTACGGGTAGAAGCAAAAGGACATCATTAAAAAATTACAGGGTATTCAAATACTTTTTAAACTCAAAACTAATATTCTACGAAAAACAATTTCTGGAACAGAAAAGAATCAATGTTATCAAATGCAGAATTGGTGGAGAAAGCAGAAATTCTATGGTAATGTCATAACATTGAAGACTGAAAATACAAAAGATCTGATGCAGATAAAATTTGTTGACCTTCAAAACAGTAACATGCACTTCAGAAAATGATAAAAAAAATAGTTAGATTCTATGGAAATTTCTTAAATTTTGCACTGTACACGACTACACATTAATCATGTTTCCATACCCATTTAATGATCAATGGAAATATGAGCACTCAAAGCTGTTGGAGATTTGATGCATGCTTGAGTAAGAAATTAATGCTCAAAACTTAAAAAGACATAACATGCTTGACAATGGCGATGCGCAAAAACCTCTCAAGCTATTATTATTGACCGCATACGAGGGCGCCAAATTTTGACAAATAAAGGAGTATACAACATGGCAACTCCTTTAGTGTAGACAAGTGGTCACAGCAATACATTTGTGTATTTCAAATGTTGTAATTGACTATATGTGTCTATATATATGTATATGTGTTTATATATACAACCTCATGTTTTGGGTTTAACGGATGGCCAATGGAGACTGAAATAATGGAGAAGTTGCAACTTTGACAGGTTTTATGATAAAATGGCAAATATATATGAGGGTGCCAAATTTTGACTGAGAATGGAGTACACGACATGGCAACTCCTTTAGTGTAGATAAGCGGTCACAGCTATACATTTGTGTATTTAAAATGTTGTAAATTGACTATGAGTGTGTCTATATATGTATATGTGTATATGTATTTATATATACAGCCTCATGTTTTGGGTTTAATGGACGGCCAATGGAGAGTGACAAAATGGAGGAGTTGCAACTTTTTGACAGGCTTTATGATAAAATGGCAAGCATAGCTAGTTTGTTGCACTTGAGGAACAATGATTAAAACATTTTGTAAGTATCACAGAAATGTCAGACACGTAGACAAGGATATTGTGTTGATAACTGCCTGTTGGAGAATATCATAGGAGTGATTTGAGCCAATTGATTAGAGTGATTTATGGAATTGATTTTAGAAATCCTCCGTCAATATAATAAAAGTGATGCAGCCCTTTAGGCTTTGTGTGCCTATCCTTTTGTTCTTCATGTTTAATTTCTCTCTTCAAATTTTTATATCTTTCAACATGCTATTAGAGCGGGTTTATCATACCCTACTCAATACTCTACTTGTCTCAGATCTTCGGATCAATTCGTCTCGGATCTTCAGATCAACTCGTCGCGGATCTCCGGATCAATTCGTCTCGAATTCTCGACAACTTCGTATTTAGTTTCAAGTTGGACACTTAAGTTAACGTGTACCAACTTGAGCAGGGGTGTTGAAGAATATCATAGGAGTGATTTGAGCCTATGATAGAATATTGATTAGAATGATTTATGGAATTGATTTTAGAAATCCTCCATCGATGTATTTTTCATATTTATCACTTGCATTCTTTCACCTATGTTATGAAGAAAAAAAAAGGATCAAATAGGAGTTTATGAGAACAAAGAGAAAATTAATGACAAGAAAAAAAAAATAGGCACACACAAACGAGACAAGGATTTACATGGTTCGGCTATGCCTACATCCACGAGGAGAAGACAGAACAATATTTCACTATAGAAATAAATAGATACAATGTTTAAGTGGCTCACACCCAAAACCCAATTACACTCAAAATTCTCTCATACTTTGCTTTTCTTTACTAAGCAAACTCACTCAATTGTTGGATGCTTTAAACCATGGAGATCAAGGCTATTTATAGCCAAATGTCATCACTATTCGTGGACTTGGAGACCAAGCATAATGCTTCTTGAACACATATACTTGGAGGGCAACTTGAATGATGTCATGGGTGAGCTATTACATGATGATGCAAGTGATGAGCTATTGCATGGTGAGTTGGCATAATTTGAGCCACAACTATCAAGGTGACTCAAATTATTTTCAGCTGAAGGTGGAGTTTTGAGAGTTTTTAAAGGTGCTCTTACTATGCTTAAAGGAAAATAGAGAAAAGGCCTCTATTTTTTGCAGGGCAGTACTGTGACAGGAGCTGCTTTAGTATCTTCTTCAGTTGATCAAGAATCAAAAACTACCCATCTGTGGCATATGCGTTTAGGGCATATGAGTGAAAGGGGTTTGATAGAATTGAGCAAACGAGGTTTGCTAGGTGGACAAAAGACGGGAAAGCTAGACTTTTGCGAGCATTGTGTCTTTGGCAAGCAGAAAAGACTCAAGTTCAGTACAGCTGTTCACAGGACCAAGGGCACTGTTGATTACATTCATTCAGATCTTTGGGGTCCTTCCAGAGTTCCCTTTCTTGGTGGTTCTCGATATATGTTGACTTTCATTGATGACTTCTCCAAGAAAGTCTGGATTTATATCTTGAAGCAAAAACATGAAGTGTTCCTTAAGTTTAAGCAGTGGAAGGCCATAATTGAAAAGCAGACCGGAAAGAAAATCAAGCGTCTCAGAACAGATAACGGTTTAGAATTTTGCTCAGGAGAATTTGACGATTTCTGCAGAAATGAAGGCATTGTCAAACACCATACAGTTCGAAAGACTCCACAACATAATGGTGTAGCATAACGCATGAATAGAACTCTCTTAGAAAGAGCTCGTTGTATGCTTTTCAATGCTGGGTTGTCTAAAGGATTTTGGGCTGAAGCAATCAACACAGCTTGCTATCTGGTGAACAGGTCACCATCAACTGCTATTGAGTGCAAAACACCTGAAGAGGTATGATCTGGTACTCCTGCTAATTATTCTAATTTAAGAGTTTTTGGATGTCCTGCTTATGCTCATGTTAATGAAGGAAAACTTGAGCCAAGAAATGTATTTTTATTGGCTATGCATCCGGGGTGAAGGGATACAGGTTGTGGTGTCCTGATCCTAAGTCACCTAAATTTATTACCAGCAGAGATGTTACTTTTGATGAGTTTGCTTTACTTCACCAGAGAAAGGAGTCTTTTGTTACAGGTGAATCTCAGGGTGTTAAGCAGTAGGTGGAGCATGACTTTGAAGCTCCAGAAAACAAGTCAACACTCCAGTTCAGCCCAATGTTGAAGAGGTGCAGGATGATCAAGTACCAGATGAGCAACAGTACAATATTGCTTCAGGGAGACAGAAAAGGCAGATTAAACCTCCTGAGAGGTATGCTTATCCAGATTTAGTTGCTTATGCTTTGTTTGTGGTAGAAAATATTGAAGATAAAGAGCCTTCCACCTACTAATAAGCTGTTACAGGAAATGAATCTGCCAAGTAAACTGTTACTATGACTGAGGAGATTGAATCTCTTCATAAGAATCAGACATGGGAGTTGGTGAAACCTCCTAAAGGCCAGAAAATTGTTGGTTGCAAATGGGTCTTCAAGAAAAAGGAAGGAACTCCAGGTGTTAAAGATACAAGGTACAAATCACATTTGGTGGCAAAGGGTTATAGTCAGAGAGAAGGTGTGGATTTCAATGAAGTTTTCTCACCAGTTGTGAAACACACCTCTATCCGCGTGTTACTTGCAATGGTTGCTCTATTTAACTTGGAGCTTAAGCAACTTGATGTCCAAACAGCTTTTCTACATGGTGAGCTAAAAGAAGAAATTTATATGCATCAGCCAGAGGAGTTTGTTGTTCAGGGAAAAGAAGACCATGTTTGTTTGTTAAAGAAATCCTTGTATGGGTTGAAACAATCTCTAAGGCAGTGGTACAAAAGGTTCGACACTTTTATGGTTAGTTATGGCTACTTGAGAAGTAGCTTTGTGTCTACTACCGAAAGCTCTCAGATGGTTCTTTTGTATTCTTGTTGTTATATGTTGATGACATGCTTATTGCTATAAAAGACATGTCAGAAATCAACAAGTTAAAATCTCAGTTGAATACTGAATTTGAGATGAAAGATCTCATTGCAGCGCAGAAGATTTTGGGCATGGAAATTCAGAGGGATCGCCAAGCTGGCAGGGTTGAGTTTGTCACAGAAAAGTTATATTAAGAAAGTGCTTGAGCGGTTCAACATGCAGAATTCCAAATCTGTGAGCACACCACTTGCTGCTCCTTTTCGTCTTTTTGCAGCTTTATCACCGCAGTCCGAAGAAGAGAAGGAGCACATGTCACGTGTTCCTTATGCTAGTGCAGTTGGTAGCTTAATGTATACAATGGTTTGCACTCGCCCTGATATTTCACATGCAGTCAGTATAGTTAGCAGATATATGGATAATCCAGGAAAAGAGCATTGGCTAGCCGTGAAATGGATTCTTCGGTATTTGAAAGGTACTGCAGATATTGGCTTAGTTTATCAGAAGAGCAGTGATTATTTTGGCAGTGTTGTTGGTTTTGTGGACTCCGACTACGCTGGTGATTTAGACAAAAGGAGATCTCTGACATGATACGTCTTTACTCTCTTAGGTTGTGCAGTTAGTTAGAAAGCAACTTTGCAATCCACAGTTACTCTCTCTACTACAGAAGCAGAATATATGGCGACCACTGAAGTAGTAAAGGAAGCCATTTGGTTGAGAGGTTTGGTCAGTGTTTTGGGTTTGCAGCAAAGCTCAACTGTTATTTATTGTAACAGTCAGAGTGCGATATATTTGACCAAAAGTCAAATGTATCACAAGAGAACCAAACACATCGATGTCAGATATCATTTTATTCGGGATGTCATATCAGAAGGAATTACTATATTGAAGAAAATTGGCATACTTGAAAATCCGACGGATATGATGACAAAGTCCATTCCGACTCTCAAGTTCAAGCATTGCTTGGACTTGGTTGGTATTCTCAAATGTTGAAATTGCCCTTAGGGGCTTAATGGAGAAGACAGTTTGTTTTACAGAGATACAGTGGCCCACTTGAATTTTTCGCCAAGGTGGAGATTTGTTGATAGTTGTGGCTCAAATTATGCCAACTCACCATGCAATAGCTCATCACTTACATCATCATGCAATAGCTCACCCATGACATCATTCAACTTGCCCTCCAAGTATATGTGTTCAACAAGCATTATGCTTGGTCTCCAAGTCCACGAATAGTGATGACATTTTGGCTATAAAGAGCCTTGATCTACATGGTTTAAAGCATCCAACAATTGGGTGAGTTTGCTTAGTAAAGAAAAGCGAAGTGTGAGAGAATTTTGGGTGTAATTGGGTTTTGGGTGTGAGCCACTTAAGCATTGTATCTCTTTATTTCCATAGTGAAATATTGTTCTGTCTTCTCCCCGTAGATGTAGGCATAGCCGAACCACGTAAATCCTTATCTCGTTTGTGTGCGCCTATTTTTTCTCTTGTTCTCATAAACTCCTATTCGATCATTATTTCGTAACAACCTATTAATAAAGGTCCTAATTGTAAACAATATTAAGAGAGAATATAATAAAAGTGATGCAGTCGTTTGGGCTTTGTGTGTCTATCATTTTGTTCTTCATGTTTAATTTCTCTCTTCAAATTTTTATGTCTTTCAACACTGCCCAACACATCAATTGTTGATAGAGTGAAGTGTCGTAATATCGTAGCTAAAGAAATCGTAGACCAACAAAAATAACTTCATAAAAAATAATGAAAGCATATTAGAAGTAAAAGATAAATTATTAAAATTTGCAACAAGAATTGAGTTCAGTACTGGTTCTGAGCAGTCTGAAAATCAGGTGGTTGCGGTACCTCATGGACCCATCCAGGAGCAAATATAGCAGCTGACACATCGCTTTTCTTCAACACATCAAGTGCAACATTTGTCTGAGGTGCAAAAGGTCACTCAATCATATGAAATTTCAAAATCTACCAACAATTGAATAAAAAAACAATTATGTTATGTTCGGTAGCATGGAATTGGTACCTTGGAATTGGAATTGGAGAAAAAATATTTTAAAGTCTGAACTAATTTTTTTTCAATTCCAATTCCAAGGCACCAATTCCATACTACCGGACATAGCTTAAAGAAGTTGCTTCAAGCACAAAGACCACCAAGTAAATAACCTAAATTCAGTTCATGAATCATAATATGGTGTTATGTTGACTACCAGCTTCCCAACAGTTATATAATATATACACAGGATATTAAACAGTTTCAAGGATTGAATAGCACGCATACATTCCACTCTCCGCCACCATAAGTGCCCCTTCCAAAAACATCAATACCCATGTAGACATCAAACTTTCTATCCCCGGCAGCAACAGCTGTACGGTTTGGATAGTCTTTCTGCATGGTATAGAAGAAAATGTATATGCAAGAAAACTGTAACACCAAAATCAAAATTTGAGTAAGAGAGAGAGAGAGAAGGCAATACCCCCCATGTATAATTTACAAATATGCCATCACATATATCAAAGAAAGGCTTATTCTTTTTATTCAATAAATTTTGCCAGTGAAGATTGCCGTTGACAGTAACACTATCATACCTGCATGGTCAATAAAATGAGAGAATCACAAGTTATATGCATTTCATTAAGAAAGGGGAAAAAGTAAAAAGAAAGCTTCAATGACTAAGAATGTAGGATCAACTAACTCTTACCATATGACCAAAGATCCAGGCATTGAAGAGTGCATGGTCTTGGTTAATTGGCTGATAAATTCTTTCATATTAGGGATTTGCCCTACATCCAATCTAACCTCCATATTTATCTGCAAATAACCGTCACAATATCAACAATAATGAGAGTGCATGAATGATCCTCGTGAGAGCCACTTTAATTCAAGGGAACAGATTTTAAATTTTACCTTTTTTGTTCTTTCATGTCAAAAGCACTAAAGATGCACATGATAAAACACAGTTTTCACTATGTACTGCAGGAATTTTTCCATTTTGAGTTTCCTTGGAGTGCTAGTTCTACGTTTTCTTTCTTGGATATGCTTGAATCCAAAAAATCAACCAAGCCTATGAAGTGACTAGGAAAGCGTCAAATTCTTAGATCAGCTAATTTTGCCTAATCTAAACAGTTTTCATGTTCCCAACGGATGTAAAACCTATAAGAACTTTAACCCCATCAAAAAACAGAAAAAAGAATTTAGAGAAGTCGATATAGGTATCACATAAACAACTGGAAACAACCTTCTATGTCAAGCTGAAGCATTCAACACCGAACTATATATGCACTTGGAACTTGGCAATTAAATATTAAACATTGTAAAGCATGCAGGGATTTTTTATTTTTATTTTTTGGTGGGGGAACTTACCAGCCATCCATCAAAGCCCAAAGCAACGGCTAGCTCAGTCAAGCGCTCAGCATACATTTGAGCAGACTCCCTCGTCGAGAGTAGTTTGTTGGCGATAACTCTCCCTTCAGCCCATTCTGTAATGAAAGTCCCCAGTACCTTATTCAACATGACAGAAGCAACAACATTATGTACAAACAGAACTTCAGTCTTCCAATTATGTGTTTCAAACTAGTCTATGTACAAACATATATGTGTATATGTATATATACATCACACAGACATGTATATGTATCAGCCAATTTCATTTTCAACTATCAATTCCCAGTACAAAGTCTTGTAAACATAACAGAGCCAAACCAAATCTTATAATCCCCAATATGAACTTCTATTCACTTGTTATAATACTCCAAAAACACATGTAATCGATATAACAAAAAACACAAACCTTGACACCATGCTTGTGAGCTGCATTAGTCCAACAAGGAGGCGGAAGTGTAACCAAACTATGCGAAAAATACACGAAAACATCCATCAAGTACCAGTGCCATATCGCATAGGCATCGGCATAGGTCCCACCTTGTACCCACTTATCATCATCAGTGTAACCTCCTTTCATGTCATGGCACACTAGAATTCTGGGGCGGTTAGGCAATGAACCATTACCAGATTGAAGAGTGACCGAAGCTTTGTTGAATGGGAAGTGAAATGAGTCAAAATAGACCCTCGATTCGAGGTCTTCTAGGGTTTTGAGGGGGTAGGAGATTGGCACGGCGGGCTGGGATGGATCGAACGGTGGAGGATCAGAGGAGGAGGGGACATTCCTGCTGTCATCATTTGGGTTCATTTTGGGGAAGAGAGAGAAGATAGTGTTGTAAATTGATCTGAGAGAGGCTCTTATGGTTACGGAGAATAGGATTTGGCTGTTTATATAGGCGCGAAAGCAATTCAGCACAGGAAGTCGTCGGTGAGATGACGAAGAAAAGATTTTTTTTTTGTAGTCGTTGCTGCCATTGGATTCAAATTTCCTGAACTTCACACTTGTGAGCGTTGGACTAACATTACTATTGATTATTGACTTGACCTGAACTGCCTTCCTACGGCTCCCTCGTTTCCAAAATAAATATATATTAAATATAATTAAATAAATTTATACTCACTAATGACCTTTAATAAATATATTTTTGGGAATCTAAAGTTTTTTAATATATATTTTTAACAATTTTTAAGTCCTCACCACTGTAAATGAACACGACTTCTTTTGTTATTTGGTATTTGATAAGTAAAGAAGTAGTAATCATTTATTATTTATTATTAATTTACATTAATAATGAGATAATCTATATTTTTGTTGGTGAAGATAGAAGTATTGTGTTTTTTTTATTTTTGACTTTAATGCATTAAACCCCCCTTCTGGTTTAAAATGTTACAAAATACCTCTTCTGTTTTTTGAAATAACAAACACCCACAATTTACTCTACTGTAGCAAATTACCCTCATTTGTCTAATTAAAAATTAATTGGAGGCAGGGACAGAGTCAATTAAGGCCCAGATGGGTCACGTGCCCTCCCCTCTCACTTTGCTCCTACCTATTATACATAGGTACATATTTTTGGTATATATATATATATACACTTACATAGTAATTTTAAATAGTATCCCCCTCAAATTTTCAAATTCTTTTAATTTTCTTTTGACAAAAAAAAAAAATAACATATATTCCTTTTTCAAATATACAATATATTTTTCCTTTTCTAATTTGTGTTTCCTTTTTTCAAAAAATTTCTTTTTTAGCTTATGTATAATTATGTATTTTTTATTTTTTTTAAACTTATTTTTTTTTATAGATGACATTTGTGATTGTATTTAATTAAAATATTATTAATTAATATTTTGATTCTTATATTTGTAACTATATTTTTTTTACTTTATTTATTTAACATATTATTTTTATAACTATTTTTTTTATTTGTCTTTTTAATTTAAAAAAAAATTATATTGTCATATTTATTAAAAAAAAAAAAAAATTACAAATGCATTGTGCCCCTCTGAACTGGCTGCGCCCCATTTGGAGGTAAGGTTTTATATAAAATTTTACAAAATTTTATAAATAATTTAAAATAAATAAATAAATAATTGATCCTAAATGATATAAATAGATGCAGAAATACATGATATGAATAAATATATTCATCATCATACAAAACAATCTGTCAACATATTAGAAATAAACAATCATTTATTTCTTTTCCTAAATGTAATTTTTTCTAAATTTTGAATACTTCGATGATATCATTGATGAGGTCAATCTGTCAACATATTAGAAATAAACAACCATTTATTTCTTTTCCTAAATGTAATTTTTTCTAAATTTTGAATATTTTGATGATATCATTGATGAGGTGCGTTCTGTCTTGAAGTAGCGAGGAAATTTCGTAATGTTGTCAATTTTTAGGTGGTTAATGGTGGGCGCTAAAATTAAACATAAATTTAATAACACAATTTTTTAAATAAATTTTTTTTTTAAGACTTGTTTGTCTTGTGCCTTTATTTTAGTAATGTCACCACCCGTAAATTCTAATAAAATCTTCAATTTATACAAGTCCAAATACATCAAAATACAATCAGATCATAAAAAAAAAAAATACCATCTTTTATACAAGTTAATTTCCTCAAATATATACAAAAATTTTCCAAATAAATAAATAAAATCCTGCAAGAATCTTCAACCTAAGCCCGTATCTAGCAATTTTCGTTCATCTTCAGTACGTGAAACTGGAGAGTGGTGAGACTGAAAGTCCCTGTAAGAAAAACCATAACAAGAATTTCATGAAAGTGTAATAAAATCACAAAACATACATAATCATGTGAGTATATATAGACAAAATAAATATGCATTTAATCAAAACATTTGATAAAATTATTTGAGGCAAAACCACTCCATGCCATTCAAGGTATGAGAACCCTACACTAAAAAAGAGTAATTCCTCATTGGATCATCATCTCCTCAAGCTCCGGCCACCTCTGCAACTCGGCTCACCTGTATTTTTCCTCAAACTCTCGACCCCTGCTACTCACTCTATACTCACTCTCTGTATACACCCTTTGTTTTTCTATCTTCTCTGCCTCAATTTCATTCACAACACACATTTAAATAGACAATTCCACGGACTTAGGGGCTCTTTGGCATGTGTTTTGTTTTGTTTTAGGCTTGCTACAGTAACCCCTTTCAAGCCCAAAACATGTTTGGTTGGGCTTGTTGTGTTTTAAACAGTAACAAAACAATTTCAAAAATGGGCCAAAAACATGAAACACCATTTTGGTGTTTTTAGTTGTTTTTGTACTGCTTGGGCTACATTACACATATAAAAGGCAAAATTCGTCATTTTCTAGGGTTTTGGGTGCGGCTTCTATTTGGGCGATTTTGGGCGACTCACAAAATCATCTCAGCATCCCCAATCGCCTCCAACTCTATTCTTCTTCTCCACTCTGAACTTGCCATCTCTATCTCTGCAACTGTAAACTACTGTAGTCCACAAGAATCAGAAGTTCAAAACCCATTTACTTCAATTTATCTATCTGTCTACAAGAATCAAAAGTTCAAACCTTTATCAAAATCCATATTGGCATATCATTTCAGATTGCTCAAAAAATCAAAACCCATATCTTTTAGTTTCCATCGCCCGCTGTTCCAGTTCCAGTTCGCCGTTCGCAAGCTTCCGCCGCTGCCCGCTGTCTCTCAACTCTCAAAACCAATGTCGGCGTATCATTTCAGATTGTTTTAATTTTTTTTCTATTTGAAATCAAGGTCTGTAGTTCTTGTTTTAATTTTTTTTTTTTTGACTAAATCAATTAATCTATGGAAATAAATTTTTTTTTGGCTAAATCAATTTGAAATCAAGGTCTGTAATTCTTGTTTTAATTTGTTTTTTTGGCTAAATCAATTAATCTATGGAAATAAATTTTTTTTGGCTAAATCAATTTGAAATCAAGGTCTGTAATTCTTGTTTTATTTTATTTTTTTTTTGGCTAAATCAATTAATTTATTGAAATTTTTTTTTTTTGGGCTAAATCTGTTTTAATTAGGATCTTTTTTATATGATTTTTATTTTATTTTATGAATTTTAGTTATAAATATTTGTGAAGATAATGACTGAAACAGATCTCTTGCAAATAACTTGTGAACAGGATAATAAAATTGAAAATAGGTTATTGCAAAAAAAAAATTTAGAACTTTTATATGAAAAAATATTGACAATATTTAAATTATTAAAATGTGCTTTTTAAACATTTTTATAAACAAATTATAAAATTTAATGATATAAATTTATTATTTCATAAAATGTGAAATTGTAATAAGTAGAGTGACCAAACATGTTTGGCATGTTTTTGTTTTTGACATTTTCATAGCAAAACATAATTTCCAAACATGCTTCTAAATTTTTTTCAAAACACTCCTCTAACAAAAATACTGTTTCTGTTTTAATCAGAAGCAAAACGCTAAAAATAAAATGCATGCCAAACGGACCCTTAAAATTTAGGACAGCTCACCTTGCAAAAATCAAAATAATCATTATACAACAATTCAGGGTGAAAAGCTTTTTGCCCAAAAAAATATATATATTTTCGTGGATCCCGCCGATACCCATCACAACTATCATATTTCACTTTAATCGGCAAATCTTTCTTCTTCATCAGACAAAGCAAATATATATATATATATATATATATATATTTGTACAATGTCAGCTCAACATCCATTTTCTCATCCGGTAGTGGGCCCGTACAAAATATTTTACATTTCAATCTTGTCTTCCTTTATCACCAAACCAAAACCACGTCACCAACCCACTACTTTCCTTTCTCATCTTCCCATTTCAGTACCCACCTGCCCTCATAGTAATAAAAAAAATTAAAAATTAAAAAAATTGGGGGGGCTTGAGCCCAGCCCAACCCTACCCTAGATACGTCATTGGTGGTTTCATAACTCGTGACTGTGAGTGCTTGGAAAAAGCCGAAAGATAAATTATTCTTTTTCATGTTGACTTGACTTGGAAAGTTAATTTGATCTTTTTACCCATCTCTCTCTTTAACACTTAGTTCGCCGTTATTATCTTTAAGCTATGTTTTGTAGATATAGAATTTAAGTTTTAAAATTGAATTGAAAAAAATAATTCAAAAAATTGAACTAATTTTTTTTCAATTTTACTAATTCTAATTTCAAAACTCTAATTCTATATCATCAAACATAACCTAAATAAAATTATTGCCTGTTGCAGGGATTACTTTTAAATTTTTAGATGAATTCCATGTATAATTTTTACCGAGCGCATAACTATTTTTTACTATGCAATTGAAGGGGTTTTTTTTTTTTTTTGTCACTCTCCTGTAATTCTTCGTGGCCCTCTCACCATTCTATCTGTGATTAGACAGGGAAGTTGTGTGATTACAGTAGTGGTGAAAGTTCTTTTTAGAACATTTTGTGTACTCTGCCCTTTCTTTCTTGTATATATAAAAAACTCACATTCATTTGTTGTATTAAAAACTTGAATATCAATTACCACTTAAGAAGGTAAAAGTGATACCGTTACGTTACAAATTTAGTACCTTTGGTTACTCTGCCCCTTCTTTATTCATCGTTTATATCATGACAGTTCCGTCTATCGCTTTATTGTGATAGACCAGATTGACCCGTTCTGCCATAAGTACCTCCATATTCCGCTGAGTAGGATTTGACAATGGGTTTGAGTCAGTGATTGGAAAACTTCCTTTTCTCGATCTTGAGTGGCATAGAAATTCCGGAACTATAATCCTAGTTGAACCAGAGAGACCCGAATTCCTGCTGGTATCATAAAATTACTTAGCTTAGGTACCATATGAACAGGCCCGACAAAACCCTTGTATGGCTTCTTCGATTTCTTGATAAAAAGAAATATGACCAATGACTAATTGATTATGGCAGGCATGGAAGTTTTTATTAAAGGTTTTTGTTTACTCAGCCTCTGTTTTTAGCAAGAAAATCCTAATTGGTGAAAATCAACCGATCGATGGAGAGATGGAGAAAAACCTTGGAGGATGGAGACTTCTAGTGTTTCAAGCAAAACGATTCACTAGTGTAGAAGTAAAGTACAATGGACTCTAATTCAGTCTCACACATTAACACTCTACCAAGAACTAACTTCTGATTGCCTTTAGCTTTGTAACTCCCTCGTTTCACGACACTTGACTTCAAGTTTACTTCCTGATCACTGTATAAGGATAGCTAGTAAATCAACTAGCACTCCACGAACACTTTATCCCTTTGTAGTGTGATCAAAACCTTCTCTTCCTTCAAATATGGATTTTGTGAAGGCTAGTAGAAAATTTATTGTTCTAATCAATCTATAATCTGATGTAGAGTCTGAAAATTCCTTATTGGTTAGTAGAAGAACATCACTGTAGTCACTTAAAAAGTTTTATGTAAACAATGAAAACCTTATTTTTCAAATTGAAGCAATCATAAATCCTCTAGGGTTAGATATAAATAATATACATATATATATATATATAGACACGGACACATATGTTCGAGAGTCCTCACTATAGGTAAAAAGAGGTTTTAAATTCGTGCAAGGGCATCCCTATAAGTTTTGGTAAAAACAAAAAACTAAAAATTTACCAAAATATGAATTTTCCACATTTAGAAAAACCCAACCGGTTCAGTTTCAAAGTTCAACCTGTTGGGATTTAACCTAGTGATGTTCTCATGCAGAAAGTTCAGTTGGTTCAATTTCGAAGTTCAACCGGTTCAGTTTCTAAGTTCAACTGATTGGACTTTGTTGAGTGCTATTTTTAACTTCTACATTCCTACCCAACTAAAATATACTCATAATTGTTTCTCACACAGTTACCTTGACTAAATTATATTCTCAACGGATTCAACGAGAAAAAACACTTGCACTTCAACTCCAAAAAACCAAGACTCGATGTAAACAAAAATACAACTCGATGATCAAATTTTGACTCCAAAATATGCCATCATTACAAAATTATATATATCTCACAGCACTTGCTTACACAATGCTCAGTACAACAGCTTCTTCATTATCTTGACAAAAGGAACATCATCTCAAAGAATTCATAACCGCTGTTCCAAATCTTTACATTTCTTTTCTTTTTTCTTTTTATTTTTAGAATGGATGTTTAAATACCAGGCAACAAAATAATATGGTTAATCTGAGTCTATTATTCAATTTCAAAAATAACAAATTGCGGTTGATTTTTGATTTGGGTATGTACTTTCTATGTATGCTCTTTGATTATCTTCTCTACATGTCCTTCGATTTTTCTGTTCTTATTGTTTTTCACAATAGAGAAAATTTGCAACGGTAGAAATCAGAAACTAAAAAAGATAAAAAGAATTGGAAATAGCCAGAAAAAGTCCTCAATAACTATTGAGAGAGATGATTTGAATAGGGGCAAGTTGGTCATATAATTATATGGCAAATAACAGATAATAATAAATTATAACAAAACTCGGAATTAGAGACTCCATAAAATAAAATAAAATAAAACAGACAAAATAAAATAAATAAAAATAAAAAACAAAGAGGAAGAATATCATCAATAAGCACAAGTTTTACTTGTTAACCCTTGGCCCCCAAGCTCGATATAATACTTCTCTTTTCTTTTCACCTTTTAGATTCTATTGCAATCTGAGATCATGATATAATTATCTAACCTGAATCCAACCCACAATCAGTAATTCAAAATTAGCAAATTAATAGAATAGAACATCTAAAATTAAAATGGGGAACCTCAAAATTTATTGATCATTACATGAACAGAAAAACATAGCGTTACCAAACCATCTTGGCACAACATTAGATATATTTGTAATGACGAAAGAGTACAATTACATGAACATTTCATGTTCATCCAAAAAAATCTTCTCCACTAGCAAAGGGAGGATCACATAAGCATCACTTAGATAGGAAAGCAATGAACATATTTAAAACAGCAACAGAGCCCAGGAACATGCTTGCAAATACAATTAGTTTTGTCATTGACATACAAGCCTCTACACCACCACCACCACCATTCCTTGCACGCCTGTTATGTTTAACGACTGCCACATCCGGAGGCTCCCACCATCCACAATATTTGCATTTATCATTGCGACAATTAAAATACACTTTCGCCGGATTGTTAGTTGATTTAAAAATCCTTACCGTTGCCCTTTTCCCACACCAACAGGTCCTGGTGCTATATAAGTGATTCAGCCTCATATCACCATCAATTTGACGATGATTGACACTTGAAGAGGTTGTTGAATTCATGCCTATATATTACACATTAATTTAGCCCACAGAAGTGCAGTACTGGAATCATTTGAAACCCTAACCCTATGTCAACAATCAAACTCCAACATAAAAAACCAAATGAAAGGATGAAGATGATTATAGTTTAAAAAAAAAAAGTTCCATCAAGTTTTATTTGGCCCCCAACTTTAGAAACCCAATAATAATAATAACCAGCGTTGTTGCATCACTTGTCGGATACTTTGCCTTTGTTACTCTTGAAAATATTCAAGGATGAAGATGATATGTATAACCAATTGCAGGAACGGCTATATTGCCTGTTGCTGCACCAACTAAATACATGTGTGGCTTATATGTTAAATAGATGAAAGGGGTTGTTATGTTAAATAGATGAAGTAAAAATAGGGTAATACCATTTTCTAACAATGTATTTTCTCCAAGTGAAGGGGTGGTAAAAGGGTCTTTTTGCACGATGTCATTGTACTGTCCAAATGGTTAGATGACAGTTGGGGGTTGGTTGATATCATGTGCCAAATCTCAGGGGTGTCAATGTATGTTTTCCAAAATCAGCATCCGTATGTATTATTCAGGTTCTTGAAGCCATATTGAACTGCTAATACCTATGGGCCATATGACTTTAGGACAATACCTAGCATGCCTCTTATTCATCCATGCCAGTTCTTTCGTACTAATTTATTATTGTTGTTTTCTTTATATATTATTCTATAGAATATGCTTTAATGTTGTGTCATTTCTTCTATTTATATGCATAATAATAATTACATCATTTATTGTGTCTTATTCAATTTAATTACATTATTGTCAGATGCTCATTTTGATTGTTCATATTGTTGTATTATTCATTTTAGTGTTCTCTCTTAAATTCCTATAGTAAGATTTGTATTTCAACATGTAAATTTATATAATGATAAGTTTTGTATGTATAACATTATGTATGAATAAAATATACAAAAAATCTATAACAGTTTCAAAACAAGAATATATACACACACACACATATATCCAAAAGAAGAAGTATGTTTGCTTCAAATCCCATATAAGAATTTTAAACCACCACGGAGAGATTTTTGCAGGCAATGGTATTACATAAAGGCATAGTACGTCAATGGTTGAAAAATTCACTAATTCAAGCAGGAATTCCAGACAAAGTTTTTCCCTTCAGCTTTAATGTTTTCCCCATGTTCAAGAAAAAAATCCACAAATCTGTTCTCAATTGTGTTTCTCATAGGACTGTCAATTATTCACATGGAAATGTCTTCGACTGCATTTGCAGACTGAAACTAAGAGTTCAGACGTGTTCTTTCAGGTACCATTAATAAATAAATTCAAAATAAAACAGTCAGAACTGAGAATAAACAACATGAGACGGTAGAGACGTGTGACAGAAGCAATTAAATAGCAGTTCAAATGCCAGAAAACAAGTTATTGAAAAGATAATTTTATTCCGACCAAGTTCTGTTGAAATATTATTGTCATGCTACAACATTTGACAGATACAAGAGAGATTATTCATGCTCCCTCAAAAGGAGGCAGCTAAAAAGCAACATATATAGATTACTAACCTTCGACATTCAGTTGAAAAGACGGAGAATCATCTAGAGTCAGGCAAGCTCCATCGGTGGCGCAAACTTGAATAATGAATTTGAGACTGGAAGTGTCTGAAGGAAAGACAAGATCAGAAACATAAAAAGCTTCTACTTGTGCCTCCCCAAGATACTCCTGCACACCATCAAGCATTTTGCCTTGTTCTCCAACAGCTCTAGCTGCTAGCCTCTCCACATAAATATTGTACTTTGGGAATACAGAAGCATCTCCATCTTTCAGTTTCCAAATGACCTTGACACTAAGGGTCTTTGATCCCTGAGATCCTGAAGTCCATTTAATATATTGACCTTCAACTAGCCATGAAGTAGATGGAGGGAAAATCGAGTTCATTTCAGAAGTTCTAACTGTGATATGGCCCAGCACTGCAAAATATTCTGATAAACTGTGGGCTAAGGAATTATCTTCATTAACTTCAGGATTTGACTGATAGCATACGGCATGAATTTCTGTTAATGTGTATCCATTCATTGCAATGCTACTCTCCTGAATGACCCATCCTGGGGCAGTTTCAGGTTTTGTAACTTGAATTGGCATGATCACTTCACTAAAGTTGCTTGATAACTGGTTCACTGTAGTCAAGTTACTTCCACAGGATGCAAGAAGAACTGATGTTCTCTCCTTCAGGGTAGAAGAGAACTCCAGCATAAGGCCTACCAGGGAGTTCCCATCTGATTTCACCTGGCATAGAAAGTGGCATCAACAGCTGAACAAATGAAAATGCAAAAACACAAACTGGGATATAGAATTTCCTCTTTCAGTATTTGGGTGGGGACGTAGTGCTGCTGTTCAGGCAAGCATCAATCCAATATTTATTTCTTATATAGCCATAGATCTGACATAATTCTGGGGACCAAGGAATGTTGTTTACAGATGAGGCATTCACCACTGGAATATTATAATCTACAAATGCTCCAAACATTATCTTGAAGAGAAATATTAAAAAATAAACATAAAAATAAAAAAAGTTCCCAGATTATTCCAAGAGAGATCACAAGATGGACCTTCCAAAGGTTGCTGACAATGAACCAAGACATAATAAATAGAACTGGAGACAAGACAGAACTTTCCCTCTTAAGCAGATCAAATAAAAGCAGTAATAAGAAAACCTTGATGCCAAAATAGAGCTTAAGCCTTCCACAGAGATTTAATTGAAATAATCCGTGGCAGAAAAACAATGATCTATTTAGGTTGTCTCTGTCAAGTAAACCTGCATTTTCACTAAACTAGTCTTTTGAATCAACTCTGAGAATATGCAAGAACACTCACTGGTTCAATTTGCAGATCCACTCCACAAAGAAAAAAAAAAATGTAAATGACTTATTTTAAGTTCATAATGATACAGCAAGATTTTAGGCTCAATTTAGTAAATTAGCACCCTTTGGATTCCCCATGGCAATGTAATCCTTCAATTTAAATCATATCTATGCTGTCAAAGCAACGAAAAGTTTTAATCCCATTGGTCTGGCTATAGTTTTCCTAAACTACAACCACTATTATTTTAATTCATCTTTAATATCTGAGAGAGAGAAAATGTGATAATTGGAGATAAACAAAAGGGAAAATATTGAAACTGACTGGGAATGAGGGAAAACTAAAGCAAGTGGGAACATGTGCCTCCCTCGTGTAGAAGTTGAAGATACACCACAAACAAAGCAACCACTACAAAGGATAACAGAGGATCATTTTTTAGTATTCAGAGTGACATACAACTCAAGTTATCAGATCATTAGATGTGCCAGTCCATAACACAACATTTTATTAGATATGATTGTACATTTAGATGTTACAACATGAATTCATTTTTATGGGATTTCCAAAGGTGCCATGTTAGAACAACTTGCTTAAAATCAATTCAACTCAATTTAACTGTGTTTTTTTTTTTTTTTTTTTTTTTTTTTTTTTTTTTTTAATTCAAATGAATTAAGATAAAGGATTACTCAAGATAACTATTTTCGATATTTAGGATCAACAATAAAAAAGGAGGAGATGGATTATGATGTAATAAGCAAGATTAGAACAGGCTAGACAAAATGGAAACAAGCCAGTGGAATGATGGAATCCTGTATTCCTATGTGATGACAGAATCAAATAGGTTAAAAAGAAAATTCTACAGGACGGTCGTTAGGAAATTTTTCTTATACAGAATAGAGGCTTGTTAAAAATGAATCAACGACAACACATTTATGCAGCTAAAATAAGAATACTAAGATGGATGATAGGAATAACCAGAAGAGACAAAATTAAAAAAAACTACATATTATGAAGAAACTAGAAGTGACACTTATTAATGATAAAATAAGAAAAAGTAAGCTTTGATATAGAATATACTAGATAGACCAATAGATGCACCAATAAAAAGGGAAGATTAGTTCAACTATAGACAAAACTAATATGGGACAAAATAATAAGAAAAGACCATCAATATATTAAATTAAATATATTAAGAGATATAACTTGTAATAGAGAAGAGTGGAAGATGAGAATCATGTGGCTGACCCCATTCGATTGGGATAAGGAAAGGATGCTGATGATGCCTTTTCAGACAGTTTGGTCCATCCTAACTAGGGGTGGCAAAATGGGTCAGGAACCATCAACCCGCCCATATCCGCCCGCCTTTTAATGGTTATGGGTGAACCATATTTAGTTTGAGGGTCAAGATGGGTTGGATAATTTTTAACCACTTAATTTGAGGGTCAAGATGGGTTGAATATGGTTAACTACATATTCAACCATATTTCACCCATCACATAATAAACACACAACACATATCTATTATATATTTGTCTTTCATCAATCCCCCTCTCTAAGTTTCTCTCTCTAGAAATTTCTTCTAAAAAAAATTAAAAAATTTTAAAAAATTAAAAAATAATTTTAAAAAATTTTAAAATTAAAAAATAAAATTTTTTTAAAACTTTCGAAAAAAAATAATTTAAAAATAAAAAATAATTAAAATTTTTATAAAAAAAATTTTAAAAATTAGATTTTTTTGGACAAATTTAACAGTCGGGATACGCCGAGATTCGAGATCCAGGGAAGAAGAGTCGTGTGTGGTTGGGGACGTTCAACATGGCTGAGGAGGCGGCGAGGGCATACGATGCCGCCGGGAGGGAGTTTCGCAGCAACAAAGCCAGGACTAATTTCCCGGTGCCGGAGGAGGAACGTTAACGATGGTGGTGAGAAGATAGATGTGATGATGATCAAGAAGAGTAGTTGTAATCAGAGTCCGGATCAGAGTAGTACCGTGGAGTCGTCAGGGTTTGCACCGGCGCTGATGGTCAATTCGTCGCCGTTGGATCTCAATCTCTCTCACGGCGCCATTGTCATTTTGCTCTATATCCGTCAGTTTCAGAATCTCATTACGAACCATTAAAAATAATTAATGAACAGAGTTTTATGCATAAAACAAAGAAAATCTGCAAAGTTTTGATTGGTGGGGCACTGGGGCCACACTCTCTTTCTCATTAAGAGCATCGGATTTCCACTTCTATTAGAGAATAAGAGAAAAATTAGTTCCAAAAAATTAAAAAATTAAAAAAAAAATAAAAATAAATGATAATTAAAAATAAATAATTAATGGGTCCACGAGTCATAACGAGTTGACCCTGTCCATTTTGAACCCGTTCTGAACGGGTTGAATATGGATCTTGACCCATATTGACCCGTCCATTTTTAACCCGACCCAAACCAGACCCAACCCGCCCATTTGCCACCCCTAATCCTAACCATTCTAATGATTCTGATTTGGATGTTAAAATCATCTAAAGAGACAGATAGTTGACGGGCTCCCATTGTTCCCTACTCTCCACGAATTCTAAGCTTTGATCAATAAAAGGCAGGGTTAAGATATATTCTTCAAACAATTTGGACCAGTAGTAGTATGACATTCTCATCGACCAGACAAAGAAAAAGGACATTGAGATAACCGAACAGTCAGGTCTTACAACTTAAAACTGACCTAAGAATTTTTTGAGATACAATTTTGTTTCCATTTTTTAACTCACAAATGAGATGGCTTACAGAATATGAAAAGTAGACTGGTAAATTCTCCAAAAGAAGCTCTCCCTGAAAGAGTCTGGTTGTGAAATATGCACTGTCTTCAAGAGCTCCTTTAAACGTGATGTTCCCTCCTCCGCTATAAGACGCTTCCTTAAAACTTCCATTGAAAAACATATATTCAATCAAGCAGAAGAATGATACTTAAAAATCTAATCTAACTGTAGAAACAAAGTAGAGAATTTTGTGAACTAATACTGCACTAAAGAGGACATGTTTCTGGAGCAAGATAGACAAGCAGTCAGAAAACCCAGAATATTGGTTACATCCAAAAACATGAAAGCTACTATAAAACAGAAATTTACCGAGTATTGACATACTTCAATCCTAAGAAAACACAAACAAGAACAGTTCACTACCAAGTGGTTACTGATCCAAGTGGTGCTGCACTCATAAGTGGAAGAACACAGCTAACTATGCAACATAATGTGTACACAAAAATTTCTTGATTCTCAGTAATATCATAGAATTTACCTCTCTAAAATGATTCACAGAAAAGAAGGAAATATCCGAAGCTCCATTTAAAATCTAAATGTATGAAAAATATTTCAATGGTAGGTGCTATATGAACAACTGTTCTACATATGACTAAAGAGTAATGATGCTATATGAACAGAATTTTCAAAAAAAAAATCCATATAGAACGACATGGTACGTTTGGCTTATATCACTCCAAAACAAAGGACCTCAAGAAAAGTGCCTTATTACTTTAAATGTCACTGACACGTCATTCTAAATGGGGTCTATATACAGATTCTATTTGTATAAAATTTTCCTGTCAAAATCATGTGAGTTAATTGGTACAAATACTTGCCAGTGGAAATGATAGCTGTACAAAAGACAAACTGCAAAGCAATAAAAGAGACATATGAGCAACAAAACTTACTTAACAAGTACTTGAATTGTGTTTGGGATAGGCTCTCCAGAAAACTCAAGGCAAGGCTGTAACAAATAAGATTAGTTAGGAAAAGTAAAAAGCGGCATACTGCGAGAACAAAAATCATAACACTGATGATAACATGTTCATTTAAAAACAGAACATGGCTGATAGGACCGGTTTATACAGGAGAATGTCATGGTAAATTTGAGAATTTATTTTGTTATATTTCTGCCTTATGACAGAACAGAAAAGCAGAAGAATGCAAACTATTTTTTTGAAAGTAAAACACACACAAGCATGTCCCAATTGGGACTTAAACCCTGCGCCTACCCCTTATGGTGTGGCAGGAGACATCATTAAAACTAGACAGCTAGTCGTAAAGCACATGGATTCAGAGTTGAAATTTTGTGCATATTAAGTTCTCTTGAAAGCATTGGTTTAGTCCACAAACTTGAATTTCTGGCTTCTCAATATTAATATTAATCTTTAGATGTTGCTAACACTTCTTCCTTTTACTGCAGTACTTGATATCTCAAATTGCCAAGTGTAATACAGGATTCAGTTTCCATATATACATCTTTTCTTGTTTACCTCTTTAATAGTAATTTATGTAATTTAATCATATTTTGCTTGTTTTAAAACTAGTTGTCATATTATTGACTGTAAAAACCTTGGAGACATGTTTGGTATCATTTTCTAAATATATTTTCTATTCTACAGAACTGTAGAATATGAACATAATGTAAAAGATACTTTTGCCAGAACAATTTGAACACTATTTCTGTAAATGTCTTGAACAACCCGTCTTTACGGTACCCTGGAAAAATAGTTTTCTCACATTTCAAGAGCCTGATAAGTTGGTACACAGTAAAAACTCATAATAGTTCTTGTTGAAGGATTTAAATATTTAAGTTACACCCTCTCTAATAGCTTAAGCTTTAGAGTAGATGGTTGTTCAAATGGTATTAAAGCAGGGTAGGTCCTGTTTTCAAACCTCAGCGTCACTCTAATTTAAAATTTGAAACACTTGTTACCAAAAGAAGGCCACACGTGAGAGGACGTGTTGAAGGATTTAAATATTTAAGTTACACCCTCTCTAATAGTGATGCAGTGAAAATGGAATAGGGCTTTATTCAAACGGTTGAAGATCCTAAGAAGACTAGACTGAGATCGCATTAATAGGGGCAGCATTGTTTACTGGGTTTAAGTCATTTAGTTAAGTCATAAATCTGTCTTAATTTTCTGTTTAATGGTTGCCTTAAGCTTTAGTTGGGATATTTCTGTCATTTCGCTTCTATTTAATGAGGCATGTGCCTATTAAGTGAGTCATGTGACCACTTAAGGGCTGTTTTGTCAATTTTAACATCTTTTATTATGCTGGACAGAATAGTAGCCGTTAGATTATATTTATAAGAAGGGTTAGGATAAAATCTTTGCTGGGACATTCCTTAGGGCTTATAAAAGGGTTGTTCCAAGTTGTATTCAGCAGCTTTTTGACGTATTATCAATATTTTCAGTCTGCTGTAGCAGTCTTTTACCTGTCCCTTTCTTTGGGATTGAGTTGTGGGTGTTTAAGCTAATTTTCTAGCTTGACTTATCTCTCTGTTTTCCCTTGTTCAGATTTATTTCTTTTCTTTCGTAGCTGATTGCATTAAATAGCTTAAGCTTTTAGAGTAGATGGTTGTTAACAGTTCTAAAGTTAATGATAGGAGCAAGTAAACTGAGCAAAAATGCTTGTTAACAGGTGTGCGTGAACATGTGTGTGTGTGTGTGTGAGAGAGAGAGATTATTCTCGATATTTTGGATGACTAAAAGATCATTATATGACATGAATATTTTTACAGTTTCTCATCATTTCCATAAATGTCCTTGATAATTTGTAAAAGTTACTTGAATAAAAGGAAAATTTAACATTGCAAAAGCGCCAACTGAGATCTTTTAATTTGTGAAAAGTCAGCGTTGCATCTACAGGGTATAGGCCCTTATCAACATTCTATCTGTGTATATAAGTTTGCATTGCTTATCAAATTCCACCTAAGGACAACTGGGGAAAATGCATAGTGGATGGTGCACAATTTGAAGTTAAAACTAAAGTTAAAGAACACATATAATTGCATGAACACCATCCTATAATTGCAGTCCATCCATCTTTGCTGAACCATGACCACCAGGCACTTTAAGTAGAACTCCAGTGTGGGATCTGGTTTTATTTCCTCAACATTCCTATCATTTTCATTTTTCAGTACACGTATCTCTCTCACTGTTGGCATTCTCTTCATTACCTTGACATACAGTTTTAAGCTCATCACAACTGATTTACTAGGCAGCACTTGTGAAAGCATGGTGAAATAGATTATGCAGTTCAATTACATCGCATGAACATGGTCCCAAACACAAGTTTCTGAACAATGATTTTGGGTGTTATGGTGTCAAATCACCGTATCATAGTGAGAACAGGAAAAAGGAAAAGAAAAAACAAAAGAAAACATAAGAAAGAAAGAAAACGTCAATACCTGAAAGCTTTGAGAAGAAATGTTGTTCCATGGAGCATTTAGTACTTGCCCTCCATCAACAGAATAATGGTAACCATGGCCCTGAACAAGTCAAAGTAATTAGTGTTTCTGTACACATGGTTTTCACTGTATGGGGTCTCATTCCCCCATTACCACTTTTCTCTCACCAGATCTTCGTTAATTCAGAAATCCAGCATCTGGCAGGCTCCGTTTGGCATACAGGTGCAAAAGTAATTAGTTTGGTCAGATGAGTTCAATATATTTCTCACATTCTCTCCTTTTCTTCCATCTCTATATCCATCTACTTATCTCCACCAAAACAACTTCACAAGTTATTCCTTCGGCTAAAGAATTTTACTAGAATCATGTAAGAAATGGCCAAACCAAAATGATCCTTGTTAGAGGATTTAAATATTAAAGTTACACCCTCTCTAATAGCTTAAGCTTTTAGAGTAGATGGTTGCTAACATGGTATCAGAGGCAAAGATCTCGAATTCAAACCTCACCGTCACTCTAATAATTAAAGTTGAAACACGTGTTGGGCGGCTTGGGCCAAAAGAAAGCCACACGTGAGGGGGTGTGTTAGAGGGTTTAACAATTAAAGTTACACCTAAAGTTAAACCCTCTCTAAGTTTTTAGAGTAGATGGATGTCAACAATCCTTTTTTGGACAAATGATATGATAAATTGGACCGATCAAATGCTCATGGCTGACCCTTTTTTTAATGCTGTAATAAATGACATCATAAGAGCTTAGTAGTCACTGGAGAATAATGAAGAGAATTCACTGTAAAAGAGCTGAACCCCCATGTCTTCCCATTTACCGAATGAGGCCAGTAGGCAATAACATTTAATTCTTATAATAAGTAAAACCAAATTCACAGGACATGCTTGTAAAAATTCATAAAAAGTATGTAAAAAGGTCTTGTTATATGAAAACATTATGAGATATTTTGAGAAACAATCATCCTGAAAGCTTTCATATTCTCTGTTATTTGGAAAAAGAAAAGGAGAATAAGAAGGAAGAGAGAAAGTACAAAAGAGATATACGGAATTGTAACCTGATCAAAATTTGAGTAGAACGGTAGTACTTTGGGGTAATTCTGTAATATTCCCCATGATTTCTCAACAAGGGCCCACCAACTGCAAAATCGAAAGCATATTACAGATGAAGGTGATCAAACAACTACAACGCCTGCATGCAATTTAGAAGGAGGTCATGGAACAAAAAAGGTTTAATCATGGAACCACTATGAAAGAGATAAATGCAAACTTGCCGTTAGAGGTTGGGCCATCAATAATGATAACATATTCTTGAGCAAAAACTTCTCAAGCTATTATTAATGATCGCACACGAAATTTTGACAAAGAATGGATTATACGACATGGCAACTCCTTTAGTGTAGATAACTGGTCACAGCAATACATTTGTGTATTTAAAATGTTGTAAATTGACTACATGTGTGTCAGCATATATATATATATATATATATATATGTATGTATGTATTTACATATACATGGGGAGTGAAATAATGGAGAAGTTTGTAACTTCTTGACAGGTTTTATGATAAAATGGCAAATGTAGTTAGTTTGTTGCACCTGAGGAAAAATGATTATAACTTTTTGTAGTTTCACAGAAATGTCAGAAACATGGACAAGGAGGTTGTATTGATAGCTGCCAACACACCAATTGTTGATAGAGTGAAGTGTCGTAATATCATAGTTATTAAAAATATTAGAAGTAAAGATAAATTATTAAAAATTTGAAAAAAGAACTGAGTTCAGTACTGGTTCTGAGCAGTCTGAAAATTAGGTGGTTGCTTAGTCTCATATACCCATCCAGGAGCAAATATAGCAGCTGACACATCGTCTTTCTTCAGCACATCAAGTGCAACACATGTCTGAGGCAGAAAAGGTCACTCAATCATATGGCATTTCAAAATCTACCAACACTTGCATAAACAATTATGATATGTTCGGTAGCATGGAATTGGTATCTTGGAATTGGAATTGGAGAAAAAATAGTTATAAGTTTGAACAACAAAATTTTCAAGTCCAATTCCAAGGCACCAATTCCATGCTACTGAAAATGGCTACAAAGAAGCTACTTGAAGCACAAACACCACCAAGTATATAACCTAAATTCAGTTCATGAACCATAAGATGGTGTTATGTTGACAACCAGTTTTCCAACAGTTATATGCGCAAGGTATTAAACATTTCCAAGGACTGGATAGCACACATACATTCCACTGTCCGCCACCATAAGTGTTCCTTCCAAAAACATCAATACCCATGTAGACATCAAACTTTCTATCGCCGGCAACAGCAGCTGAACGTTTTGGATAGTCTTCCTGTATGGTATAAAAGAAAATGTGTATTCAAGAAAACTGGAGCACCAAAATCAAAACTTTCAAATAAGACACACACACACACACAGAACGCAATACCTTCCATGTATAATTTACAAATATGCCATCACATATATCAAAGAAAGGCTTATTGTTTTCATTCAGCATATCTTGCCAGTTAAGCTTACCATTGATAGTAACACTATCATACCTGCATGGTCAATAAAATGACAGAATCATAAGTTATATACATGTCATTAAGAAAGGGGAAAAGGTAAAAAGAAAACTTCAACAACTAAGAATGTTGAATCAACTAACTCTTACCATATGACTAAAAATCCAGGCACTGAAAAAAAAGAAAGGGGAAAAGGTAAAAAGAAAACTTCAACAACTAAGAATGTTGAACAACTAACTCTTACCATATGACTAAAGATCCAGGCACTGAAGAGTGCATGGTCTTGGTTAAATGGCTGATACATTCTTTCAGATTTGGGATTTGCTCTACATCCAATTTAACCTCCATATTTATCTGCAAATAACAGTCACAATGTAAACAATAATGAGAGTGCATGAATGATCCTCATGAGAGCCATTTTAATACAAGGGAAAAGATTTTAAATTTTACCCTTTTTGTTCTTTCATGTCAAAAGCACTAAGATGAACTTGAGAAAACAAATTTTTCACTATTTACTGTAGGAATTTTTCCATTTTGAGTTTCCTTGGAGTTCTAGTTCTACCTTTTCTATCTTGGATATGCTTGAATCTGAAAAATCAGATAAGCCTATGCAAGTGACTAGGAAAGTCAAATTCTTAGATCAGCAAATTTTGCTCAAAACAGTTTTAATGTTCCAAATAAATGTAAAACCTATAAGGAAGAACCTGAACCCCAAAAAAAAAACAAAAAAAAGAACTTAGAGATGGCAGTAGATATATGTATTGTTATGACAAACGCAGCGAACCCAAGCAACAATTACAAAACAGGACAGAAAAATAAACCCACCACACACAAAGAATACAAAGATTTATACGTGATTCGGCAAAGCCTATGTCCACAGTGGAGATCCCGCGAAAGTCTTTACTATGTGTAAAATCAGAAGTTACAAGTTTCAGTCCCTTGCTCTCTTTCCGTACGATTTTCAGTGTCTCTCATTCTACCCACTCCAAACCCTAAATGCCATTATATATCGGGCTACAAGAGAGTATTAATAAGGGTCCACGAGGACCACGACCCACACAAAGCTCATCCAACAGGTCGTCAGATCGATAGCGGGTCGCAAAATGACCCGGCACCAAATTCGGGCCACAACATCACATGTGCCATATAAACAACTGGAAATGACCTTTTATGTCAATTTGAAGCATTCAACACCGAACTATATATGCACTTGGAACTCGGCAACTAAATATTAATCGTGGTAAAGCATGGGATTTTTTTTTTTTTTGGGGGGTTGGGGGAACTTACCAGCCATCCATCAAAGCCCAAAGCAACAGCTAGCTCAGTCAAGCGCTCAGCATACACTTGAGCAGACTGCTTTGTGGAGAGTAGTTTGTTGGCGATAACTCTCCCTTCATCCCATTCTGTAATGAAAGTCCCCAATACCTTATTCAACATGGGCAGAAGCAACAACATCATATACAAACATAACTTCAGTCTTCCAATTGTGTGTTTCAAACTAATCTATGTACAAACATATATATGTATATGTGTGTGTGTGTATATATATACATCACACAGACATGTATATGTATAAGCCAATTTCATTTTCAACTATCAATTTCCAATACAAAATCGCTTAATTCACCATGCTCTTTCCTTCTATGTCTTTTAAACCAATCAATTCAAGTACCCCAATTTCTTATAACAGAGCAAACCAATTTTTCAATCCAGTATGAACTTCAATTCATTGATTAAAGTACTCCAAAAACACAAATGCAATCGATAAAACAAAAAACACAAACCTTAACACCATGCTTGTGAGCTGTATTAGTCCAACACGGAGGCGGAAGGGTAACCAAACTATGGGAAAAATACACGAAAACATCCATCAAGTACCAGTGCCTTATCGAATACGCTCCAGCATTGGTCCCACCTTGTACCCACTTATCATCTGAGTACCCTCCGGCCATGTCATGGCACACGAGAATTCTGGGACGGTCAGGCAATGAACCATTACCAGACTGAAGAGTCACCGAAGCTTTGTTGAATGGGAAGTGAAATGAATCAAAATAAACCCTCGATTCTAGGTCTTCTAGGGTTTTGATAGGGTAGGAGATTGGCAAGGAGGGTTGGGATGGATCAAACAGTGCAGGATCAGAGGAGGAGTGGACATTGTTTTTGTTGTTATCATTTGGGTTCATTTTGGCGAAGAGAGAGAAAAGAGTGTTGTGAATTGATCTGAGGAAGGCTCGTATTGAGATTAGGGTTTGGCGGTTTATCCGAGCACGAAGGAGATTCAGCATAGGAGGTCGTGCGTCTGTGTTTTGATTTATTGTTTGTAGTCGTTGCTGCCATGTGCGTTGGTTTCAAATTTTTGATGAATAATTTAGTTCTTAACTAACTACTATGATGAAAAAAAAAAAAAAAACACGAACTACTATGAATGATTCCAACCTGCAGAAAAAATTACAGTGTACTAGTAACATTTATACAAATGGGTGTGTCAGTTTTGGTGTAATCATTGCTATTACAAATTGTAATACAATCTGTATATATAATTTTATAATTGTGGGCCCCACTGTAATATATAACGACAGTGTAGTATTCATACAAATGGGGTGTGTCAGTTTTTTTGGGCAATATAAAAATAAATTAAAAAAAAGTAGAAGACAAAAAAACCACAAACCGATGGAATGCTTATTAGCCTCAAGGATTGGTAAAGGAATAGCATAAAATGCTTATCTCAAGGATTGGTAAAAGGAACAGCGTAAGGGAGGTTATCAGTTAGTCAAAAGCTTAGTCTATTTGTATATTTACTTATTTATATTCATTTTATTTTTTATTTAAATTTAATATAGGACAAATACTCCTTATAAAATTCTTTCTCATCGAACTCTATCCACAGGGTGAGCTCACATGAATCCCTCCGAATCGAGTGTTTGACGTGACATTAAATCAAAGATTGAATTTTATTCTGATATCAACCGTAACTGTAACTGGTAAACGCTTACCCATTAATCAAAAATTTTAAACAATTAACGATTTTTTATAACCCATCCATTTATACCCATTTTACTTCCCATTTGAATCCGACCGACAGAGACAAGCATCCCTTGCAACAAATATATCTTCACGTTTGATATATTACTTCTCTTTTCTTTTTTAGCTTTTAGATTCTATTGCAATTTGAGATCATACATCTTCAACCCACACATTCAGTAATTAAAATGTAGAAAATTAACACAAGATAACAACTAAAACAAAAATGGTGAACCTCATAATTTATTGATCATTACATAAACAGGAATACATAATGTTACAAACTCATCTTGATACCTCAACAAAAAAAACTATGGAATATGTTATACATTGCTAATGATAAATTATAACAGAACTAGGGATTCGACACTCCATATGAAAAAGAAAATAAATTAATTAATTAAATAAAGAGGAGGAAGATAAAGCGGCACAAGTTTTATTTGTTAAAATTATGGGGGGGAAAAAAAGTTTTACTTGCTAATCCTTAGCCCCCAAAACAAAAACTAAGAGATGAGGCTCTCTCTCTCTCTCTCTCTCTCTCTATAAGTTGATTTTACATATCCTTGATTTTCTTTTGCTGCATCCTGATATATTCATCTGTTTTCTTGCCCTTAAATTGTCCCTCCGAAGTGCCACTAAAGTCCCCAGCCCTGTATGAGCATGAATAACATTTTCAAAGCAACTCTTCAATTCCCGTTAGTTTGTCAAATTCACTTTCATCAATAGATCCTCTTTTCAGCTTTTTCAGAAGACGGTATTCCCGCATCATCTCCTCTTCATCGTCAATTGAATTAGCAGTACGTCTCTGCTTGGCTGTTTTCTTCCTCACAACAGTAGCTGCAGCATTTGAGGTTGGTTTAGGCTTCCGGGGTTTTTGTTCTTGCTGTTGTACAGCTTTCTTTGCTTGCAATTTCTTCTTTCTTTGTTTCTCCCGAGATTTATCCCTAAAATCAATGTTACTAGCTAGTAAGCATTAGCTATATTAAGAAAATAAGACATCAAACATCACCAATGTATGTTAATGGTATAAGCATGCCAGCATATTCCTCAAAAATTATGTCGAAAAAGACCCTCCTAAATTTTGGGGACACGAGTTTAAAAAAAAAAAAAACCATTTGAGTAAAGCTTGAGAATGTAGAAAACAAAGGTGATAGTCTCAACCCTATAACAGCTGCCGGATTGGTAGCATATCAGGGGTCAGGCAGTCATTGGCTTCTAAATGCTCAAGTAATACCTGGTAAAGAGATTGAGAAGTGTCTTACTTGAACTTGATGTCGTCCAAATTGATATCTTCAACAGGAGTAAAACCCTCCGTAGAAAGTGGGTGGCGCTTTACCTCAGATATTGAAGGCAGCTCCAATAAGCCAAATCCCATGCCCAATTTCCCAAGCTCAAGTTCTTTCCAACTGCAGATAGTAAAATGTATTGTTAAACACAAAGAAATCCTACAGAACATTAACATTTCTCGGATGAGGCAAAGCATGATGTCTTGCAAATAACCTCAAGATGTAATTGCAACGATGCTCCTTATAAGCACGGATATAAGAAACAAATGCTCTTTTTCCTTTTTCCATGACATCACGGTCTCTTTTTGCAACACCCCGTATCTGAAGGAGATAGTTTTCACCAGTTGTGATATGATGTTAGGTGAAATACCACAAAGAAATCAATTCAAAAAATGGTATAGATAAAGCAAGGGACGACAAACAATCATATGAAGTGTAAAGATCACTCTTTCGTATGAGGGAAAAGGAGAGAGCAAAATTGTAAGAGAGAAACATTTGAATGGAAGTGTGGCAATAAAATTTTGTTACTAAGTGTTGGTATATGTCATCACTCTCATATATGATCAATCAGTAATGGTCATCACTAATTAGTTAATGGTGTCATCGTCATCATTTTTGCCTTAATCCCGTATGAATGTCGGCCACATCAATTCTCTTTCTTCATTCTTTTCTATTACAAGCTTCATGGTGTGTTGCAGATAACTGAACCCTTCTACCTCCCTTTCACTCCTTCCTTATCCCTCTCGTCCTCCATTAAAATATATAAATAGAAGTAGCAATACATCACATACCACTTGTTAGAAAGTCTAAACTACTAGCATGAAAAGTAATCAGGTATACTGTACTAATCATGTCATGATTTTCTTCTTCCAACCTCTCCTTCCTCCACCCCCTCCTCCAAAACAAAACCCAAAGACAAAAATATAAAGGAAAAAAATGGAATCAATTGAGTTTGGCAGTTGAATAATGACTGTAAAACGGAAGACCATATATTTATGACTATAAAACGGAATCAACTGAAATTAACTGAATGATGAACCATATTGGCAACTCAGCTATAGCCATATATACTAAATGAAGAACCATATTGGCAGTCATTTACTGAAATTACTGAATGAAGAACCATGTTGGCAATCATTTACACTCCATGTTAAGATGTTTTAGTATAAGTAGTTAATCAGGAATATAATTGTAAATTATTACGCCTGTAGCTAAGCCAAACCATACAAAACTTCAACAATTAGGGACCAGGTTCAATATCATGGAAAGGCCATGCTCATGAGCTTAAGCATCGTGGAGCATGCATGTCTCTCTATCCTCAATCTATCTCTCTATCAGTAAATCTTAATTCTGATTCAAAAGAGCAGGTTAAATAAAGGAAAGAATGCCTATAGCAATAATAGGGAACTAATAAACATGACAGAAAAAAAATTCCCGATTAAAAGGGTATTTCTCACCAGAGGAACAATATCAGAAGCACTATCAGAGCATTTTCTTTCCTCAAGTGGAACCCTTCTTATGCGCAGGAATTCCACATACAATTCCTCCTATATGGCATACACAATACAATTAGATTCAACAAAACGAAGCACTTCTTAAAGAGTAATAAAAAACTTAATTAATTAGAAAAAACTATCACAAGATCAAACATGTCAGAACCAACATTTGGTAATAGAAAAACTATGGCGCTTCCTTGTCGTCCCATCCGAGCTGTTCGGCCAACTCTGTGTACAAACACATCTGGATTCTGAGGAGGGTCATACTGCATAAGTAACAGAGACAGAAAACATTTCTTAGCTGTAAGAAAATGGAGCTACAAATTCTATAATATGTGAAACACATAACTTCTTAACATAACAATACAGAGACACATAAAGATATGTCAAAAGGATGTAACAAAATGAGACTGTAAGTGAACGGTGCTACACAGTTTCATATAGTCTTAGCCTTTAATATCATATTAGACTTCTAAATCAACTTAAAAACTCTAACAAAGTTAAAAGCAAACACAAACCCATAGGGAATGCCATATTACAGTTCCAATAAGAACATATAATTCATAATCCCTAATCATTGATAAATAGATAGTTTACCACATAATTTACCCACTTATCCAAGCAGTTGCTACTATGTTCAGGCAAACTAATAGAGCAGAGACAGTGGCTGTCTTAATAGCAGATGGAAATTGGTGTATACCTTTACATTATGCGGTTGAGGTTCGAACTGCTATTCACAGAATTGCTTTGAGGGCTGGTACTGATACTATTTCTTGGAGGCATGGGTTTTTTTCATTAAAATCTGTATGGAATGTTTGTAGAGCTAAAAAACAGAAAGTTAAATGGAGCAAACCCCGTTGGAAAGGCTGCAGACCAAGGGTTTCAGTGGGAGTCAGTATCATTTTGCATAACAAGAATTTATCACTGGTTAACCTTCAGAAGAGAGGATTTATCCTAACAGCTATCTGTCACAACTGCTTTGAGTATGAAGATACTAATGACCACCTTTTCTGTAATTTTGCGTATGCCAAAGCTATTTGGGGTAAGCTGTTCATTTTGATTAACCTGCAGTGGCCGAGGGTCAGCTCTCTTAGTGAAATTGTGGATTGTTTTGTTGTGCAAACTAGCATACATAATACTAAGTCCAAGATTTTGTGTGCTCTCTTTGCTGCTACTATATGGAAGATATGGTTAATGAGAAACTCAGCCTTCCACAATGGATGCAAAGATGAGGCTGAGTATGTTGTTCAATCCGTCATTTGGGATGTGCTTGCATATCTCAATTTTAGTTTACATGATTTGTTAACTGTTTTTTCATTATAATGTATTTGATGTTGTTTGGTGACTATTGGAAATGGGCTTATTCTAGCTCATGTTTTGTAAAAGAAGGTATGCCTTCTAAAATTATTGTAATGTACATTCTTATTTATAAAATCTCCACATTCAGGGAAAAAAAAAATACACGAGAAATTGTAGAATATTGTAAAAATAATACGGCAAAGATCTAAAATTGATCTCCATTGTTTTCATCGTGAGCAATAGTTGCCTCACAACTCCTACAACTATTTTGTAGTACTTAAATCTTTCAAATATTACAATCAGTATAACGTAAACTATCAATTTATAATTATATATTCAAGCTTTATGGAGGTAAACAAGAAGATTTTCTGACCCATTTTATTTTACATCAGAAATGGTAAGTTCAAATATTAAATCCTTAACAAGTTATAAAAGATGCAATCTATCCATGAGTACTCCTCTTATTTAAAATGTGACTACTGAACGCTAAATGTGAACCAAAATGATGCTGCAAAACAGTTGTTCCGTCCTTTACTTTTTAAAGAAGATGTGGACCTAAACATGTAAATGCAATAAGCTACAACTCATGAAATAAATGATAGACTAAACCATTTAGGTAGTTGATAATTACTAATCTACCAGTACTATTGCTGAGGCAAAAAGAAAAAAGGCTACCTGCACTATACAATCAACGCCTGGAATGTCTAGTCCGCGTGCTGCAACATCAGTGCATAGAAGAATGCCACTTGAAAGAGATGTAAACAAGGCTAACGCCTTTTCTCTTGCATTCTTGCAAACACAAATATGAGATTCAGATTATGATTTGGTTGGGATATGGTAAAAAAGTCAATTCCATAAAATACTAATTTTAGATCTAGGCCTAACACGACAATCTAGACAAAGCTACCTGCTTCATCTGCCCATGAAGGGAGATTAAAGAGAAGCCCTTCAGAGCAACAAGACGTGGAAGAACAACACCCCAGTAATCAACACAAGCACAGGTCATGAAATAGCTGCAAAAGAAAAGAAATCTTGTGTTGGAACTACCATCCATCTGCAACTGGCTGTAATCAAAGCAATAACTAACATTAAGTAAGCATCCATCTTAACTCACATCATGGTTTTTTTGGATTTGTTCTCAATAAGGAAATCAACAAGCTGTGATGATTTCTTATCTGCTTCACATTCAATATACTGCAAAATCAAACAACTGTTAACAAACTATCATCTTCATCTCAGATAAAGAATCATCCAGGCAAGCAATTTCAAACAAATGAATAACATAATCAGATACCCTAATATATAAATTGAGGGTTGAACTGTATATACTGATGTATATACCTCAATGTTAAGGCTTGATGGCGTCTTTGAAGAGGCTAATTGTTGTGATGAAGGTGAATTATTGAGTGATTTTGTTTCTGCTCGAACTTCAACCCTCACGGGATTCCTCAAGCCTGCTTTAGATAGCTCTTCGACTGCCTCAGTTTGAGTAGCTGAAAAAAGACCAGTTCTGCGAAGCTTTGGTAAGCGAGATATAATGGATGTTATCTGGTTCTGAAATCCCATATCCAACAGCCTATCAGCCTCGTCTAAAATCAAAATCTGCCAACCAGCAACATTATTCATAAACACAGACTTTTTGCATGATATAAGAACTTGGAAAATTTTAATAAAATCGTAAATTTGCTAACTGTCCTCAATAAATAAAATGATAAAATAACATGGGACCTGTGCAATATGGCCAATATGAAGATGAACAACCATTATCACAATCAATGTTCCAATAAGTCATAGTGTATTTTTAAAGGTTCCCAATTAATTCCTTTTATCTTCTTTCAATAAGTAAAATCCAATCCAAGGAGCACATTTTATGCATGCATATGAAATTAGAACTTAAGACAATATCATGAGAATTAAATCATCAAATATCATCATCAACATATGCTATGATATTAGACTTTAAAACTACGATAAGCTGGGTGATAGAAATAAGTATTATATGTGTGTGTATATATAGTAACAACCTTTTTTTTTTTTTTTTTACCAACAAGTGGTAAATTGAGGCTGGTATCATTTACTTCCAACATTTTACTAAATTTTAAGAGACTCGTTCACTGAAAATGCGTATTTTACAGGAAAATAATCGAGAAAAATCATTGACCAGTTACCTCAAGGTTGCGAAAATCCAAGATATCCATACGTTCCATTATGTCATATAACCTCCCAGGTGTGCCAATCAAAATATTTGCTCCTCCTTCCTCTATTTTCCTCATGTCTGATTTTACTTCTGCTCCCCCAACAAGAAGCATGGACTTAACATTTGGCAGTGTTGAAATAAAAGGCTGGGCAACATGATATATCTGTGATGACAGCTCTCTTGTGGGAGATATAATTATGCCCATCACCTGCACAAGAAGCAAAGTGCAAGCTAAAAAAATCAGAACTAATAATATAAGCAACCATTTTATATTCAAGGAAGGAATGTATATTAATAATAAACAAGAAGCAAACGTCCCATCAAAATTGACCACTTAATCTTACTTTCTTGCAATCAAACAAAGTGATTTTCATCAACTAAGCAAACAAAGATCTTCGAAGTAGTACTGTAGTGGCAAAGTTTAATATCATGCAAGTGAAGCATCTGTTTTAGTGTATAACTCCAATGTCCACTTACAGAATAAGTGTGAGAAGATCCCTAGTCAAATACCAACTGTGGTCCTAAATCTATCTTACTGCAAAAAATAAGGAATGAGGACTGCTCAGTGATAGACAGTGGTCACATCTTAGGCAACTGTCGCATCACTAACTCCTGCAGATATTCGTGAGGCCTGTGGAAGATAGTGGACCATTTTTTGACCCTTCCTCTAGATAGCTCAGACGAGGCTTGACCTCAGTCATGGAGGGGGAACTTCCACTTGACAACATCCGGTCGCTAGGGGCCGCAAACAAACAACACAGAAAAAAACCCGAAATTGCGCCCCGATGCTATGGAGGGTCCCGACACTATTCGTTATTTTCCAGCCAGGTAGCAATCTCTCCGTTATTGCCGAGAGAGATTTGACTACCAGATTGTACTATTTGTCCAATGGCTAAGCAAACTACAAATGCAGTTTGGTTCTCACTAATTAAGTTTGGCATAAGCTTCTTGAGACGGTTCACTAAGAACTTGGAGAACACTGAGCAAGTCTTGGCTCTCACGCTCTGAGCTCTTATAGGTAACCGCACATAGGGCAATATACTGCGTGAGACTTTCTGTTGCAGTAAGCAAGCCAACTACCATCTCGATCTTTCTAGCCACCAAAAACTCTGCCCCCAAGAGACTTTGACCTTGGCTCAGAAGGAAGTCGAACCAATTTCCTCTAGAAAGAATGAGGCTCTCTGTTGCTTCCCTTGCCTATTGTTTCTACGCACTTTTCTAAAACACGTTTACATATTCCAAATTTAATGAATGAGAATGTCTTGGCAGCTTCTGCACAAACTTGCGAGAGAAAAGAAAAGAAAAAAACACACAGAGGTTTTTACAAAACTGGCCCGAACGCAGAATATAACAGTCGAATCCCACTTCCGGGTAGATTGGCACACGCTTAATATCGCAATAAAGAAATACCAAGTCAGTCTAGGTAGCAAAATAGGCACCAAAAGGGAACCTCTCCATGCCGGAGGCCGAAAGGCATAACGATTTGGCGCAAGCTCCTTCTTCAAGTGCCTCCACTCTTCGCTTCGTCGTTCAAAAAGAGATCATGTCGAAGGATACTAAATTGAACAATGAACTTTTCTTTTTGTTGATAAATTAAGGTGTATTTTGAATTCAGCGCAGAAAAACAGTACACTATTACATACAACAATACTGTTCACAACTAATAGCACTTCCAGAACATTAAAGTTATTATTAAACAGCTGAACTCATCCTATGCTACTGCTTCACATATTATGTGACATCTTCAAATTACCTCTGTTAAGTATGTGTGTGTCTGTTTGTGTGTGTGAGAGAGAGGAGGAACCTGTTGAGGTTTGGGGGCAGTGGAGGAGCGGCGGAGGATTTCGACCAGGGGGACGACGAAAGCTAGGGTTTTGCCGGAACCGGTGGCGGCGTCGACGGAGACGTCCTTGAAGCGGCAGAGCAAGGGGATGGTGGCGGTCTGAACCGGCGTGCAGAAGTCGAAACCAGATTGGGTTAGGGCTTGGAGAATCGGTTCAGATAGTGGGGGTTCGAGATCGGAAAAACGAGTGTTCGTTAAGGCTCTGTTGGGATTATGAGAGTCCGTCGTTGCCATGTTCGTCGTTCTTCACAAAACCGCCGTTCTCGATGTTAGGGCAGTCTTTTTCTAACTGTCTCTATGTTGCGTTTGGTTAAATGGAAAATAAACTAGACATTTTTTAAACGAAAAAGAAAATTTTTAAGAAAGCAGTCACAATTTTTTTCTTTATACTAGTACAATTTTTTATGTCTTTAAAATAATGGAAATTTTTTTTTTTTAAATAATAGTATAGTGGTCTTGCTATTATTATTTACAAAGCACACACAAAAATTATTTATTGGATATAAAATAATTTAGAGCTATTATCCTGCTTAATGAAAATTAGAAAGATTTAAATAAATTAATATTTTCTTGTAACTTTCATTCTATTCAAACTCACACAATTTTTTCCCTGAAAGTTATTTATGATAACTAAACTCATGCTTCTTTCACTTCCTGGAATCTTAGTCTCTAATTTAGTAATTGATGTGTGTATTTTCTTTTCTAAAAATTAATTACTATTTTTATGCTAACTTTCTTTTGGGTCTCTAATTATATATAATTACTATACTAGCCTCGTAACTGGAAACTTCATAAACCCCCACGATTCTATCCTACTTTAAAATTTTATTTTTTACAAATTCCATATCTAAATGTTTGAAGTTCCAACACTAAAATTTTCTTTTTTACAAAAATATATATCTAAATGTTTGAAGTTCAAATCTGAATTTTTTCAAATCCGTATTCTTTGTATTCCAAATATTACTCTGATTTTTCATATTAAAAAAAAATTATCATAAAATAAAAAGATAAAAGTACTATAAATTTTTTTTCAGATTATACTCTTTTTTTTATCTGATTTTATTTTTTTTATTTGAAAAACAACCTAATACTTCGAAATAAAGGATAGGGATCTGATAATACTTTTTTCACTAATTTTTTTTTATTTTTTTAATCTCTACGGTTCCATCTCACTTTAAAATTTTATTTTTTATAAAATTCCATATCTAAATATTTGAAGTTCCAATCCTAAATTTTTCTATATACAAAAGTCCATATCTAAATGTTTGAAGTTGAAATCTGAATTTTTTCAGATCCGTATTCTTTGTATTCGAAGTATTGCTCTAATTTTTCAGATAAAAAAAAAAAAAATTATTGAAAATTATTTTTTTTCAGATTATACTTTTTTTTCATCTGATTTTATTTTTTTATTTAAAAAACAACCCAATACTTCGAAATAGATAATAGAGATATGAAAAAACAAATAATTTTAGAGAGAGAACCAGATTATAGTACTTTTTTCACTGGTTTCTCAGTTAGGAGGCTAGTATAGTAATTATATATAATGAGAGACTCAAAAAGGGTTAGCATAAAAATAGTAATTAATTATTGAAAAAAAAAAAACATATTTGGAAATTAGAGTTTTTAAAAATTCATGCATTATCCCCTTTTAATATTACCAACTCGTCCTTTTTAGTTTAAATATATATAGTTATCAAGTTTGAATTTTTTTTGAAAATATAAAAGATAATGATGGAAAGAAAAAACTTATTCGATTTGTCTTTTCAAAGTGGATAACTAATTTGGGAGATTTAAAAATAAAATAATTAACTACTAATATGGGACAAAGATAGTATTACCTTTCTTCTAATTAGGCGAACCTAATAAACAATTCAATACATTTAATCTTCACACCTCTTTTTTATTTAAGTGGGTGTCATGCTTATGCTCTAGCATGATTTAGGATTCACCACCCAATTCTTTTATTGTACATTTTTTATTTTATTTTTTTAATCACTTGTTAAAAATCATTTATTTTTTCTTTTGATAACTCTTTATTTTGTTTGAGCTATAAATCAGAATTTAATATAAAATAAATAAATCAAATAGTTGAACATATTTCATCATTTTTTAAAAATATATATACAAATATATATACATAATTTCGTACTTAACGCACTATTAAATTTGATTTATCAATCATCCCTTCTATCATTCGGCACTAGCTAAACAAGTATTAAGATTTACGGATTGTTGATGATGACCATAATTATTAACATCATTAGTGAAAAGAAAAAAAAGTATTAATATCATTAGTCTTCGTAAAAAATGAATCCCCTGTTTTATACAACATATATAGTTTTCAATACTTGTATTCCACAGGACACCTGGGATCATCCCAGCAACGGTTGAATGTAATGAGAAAAATCTAAGAACTCAAAAACAAACAAACAAACAAAAAAATTCATTTTTGAATTTTCAAAAAGTGTCAACTAAACAAATTTTTGTACCTTTTTTTTAATTATTTTTAATTCTCAAAACACATAAAAACTGTTTCCTTCATCAAACACACATAAGAATGAGTGCTTGCATTGACGGTTGGGCACACCTTAAAGGTTGAATGTTATGAGAAAAATCTAAGATACATTATAAAAAGATACCGATCAAATGACATACATTGCAGTTTACTCTCAACTTTATAAAACCGAGTACATAACAGGTTTCTACAGTTACTTTATTACCATACATAAGTTTATTACCATACATAAGTTACTCTGTACCTCTGACCACCCCATTAGAAGCCTTCTCATTTTTCATTATACTATGGAACAATGTGGCTCTGTCCTCCTCTACAATCTCTCTTAAAATATCATCTTCAATCTTTTCTGCTTGCCAGTGAGAAGGGTCTTCCACGAGTTCCTCACTGAATATCATACTCGAAACCCACTCCTTCCATGTAGTCCGACTGTGCTTCTCTTCTTCGAGTGTGCCGGTGGCCAACAGCTGATACACATACACCACTTTCGCCTGACCAGGCCGGAAAGCTCGTGCAATTGCTTGCTTGCTCTTGGAGGGATTCCACTCCGAATCCAACAGGATCACCCGCGATGCTGCTGTCAAACTAACACCTTCAGCACAAGCCGTAATGGAGGCCAGCAGTACCTTTGAAGCCCCTCCCGGTTCCTCAAACTTGTCCATCACTCTTCCCCGTTCGAAGAGCTCGAGGTCACCTTGGAGGACCAGAACTTCCTCACCCTTCCGCCACCCATAGAACATCTCAAATATCTCTAGAAATAGAGTAATGGGAGCTATGTTGTGGCAAAATATCAGAACCTTCTCATTCCTGATTAGACACCGAGGCACAAGGCTCATAATAAATCTCACTTTCGAACCTATTTTAAGGTCAAACTTGTATTTTTCAAGAGACTCCAACTCCTCAATGCCGAAATATTGCTTGGCACATTCTGTAGTTCTGATCAACCAAGGATGTATTGATCCCAGAGTAATCAGAAGCTCCAACTCTAGTGGAAATCCTTTGTATACAGGCCTTTGATTTTGAAGTTTTACCAGAATTTTCTGTTGAATAGTTGTTGACTTCATCATTAGGGTGTAAATTTGTAAACCAGGAAGGTTGTCAGAGCTTCCACCTTCATGTACATCTATAAATCCACTTGTCAGATTCTTCAATATATTCAGACCCTGCAGTCTTTCTCCCGGTATGTTTGAATTGATCCTACTCCCGATTTTATCGATGAAAAATTTTCTTGCTCGATTCTCAAGTGAAAAGCGTGTTTTTGCACCTTTTTTTCTCCTCCTGAACTTTGGATCCAATTCCATCAATACCTCACTAACAAAGGTTGGTCTTGCCAAGCTGAGGGTATTAAAATATTCACCAAAATTATTCTGGAACAATGTACCTGAGAGTAAAATTCTCAGCCCTGTATCAACTTTCATCAAACCCTTTCTTAACCTTGATTTAGTACTTCTTGGATTGTGCCCTTCATCAAGTATCAAGAGCCCCGGACATTCCCGCAAGACTTGGCCCATGTATTTTCTGTGAGCAAACCTTGAATCTTCTCGCGTCAACGTGAGAAATGAAGTATAACCCATGAGGAGGACACTGGGTTGCGAAAGCCACTTCTGTATTTTCTCTAGACAGTCCAAAATATGCATAACATCCTGATTGGGTCCTGGAACTCCAGGAGATAATTTCAATTTCTGCCTTAGGATTTCACCTCTGTAGGTTCTACCACCATGGATTTGATAAACTGGAATTGGAATTTCCCACTTAATTATTTCTTTGTACCAGGTATAGAGTGTTGTCTTTGGAGCAAGGACCAAAGGCCTTGATCCTGGGAATAACTTCAGGTAGCTCACAAGAAATGCAATGATGAGGAGTGTTTTCCCAGCCCCAGGAGAGTGAGAAATAACACATCCGCCTCGGTTTCTGGATGCCGGTTCCATCAGTGCTGGTACCATAGAGCCAGCAATGTTCCGCCACAGAAACTCAAATGCCCTCTTTTGATGGAAACGCAATTTCTCTCTAAGATCAGGTATGAGAACCCACACATTGTCGTTCCCTTCTGATAAGGGCATGTCAGAAGCAGCAGGTATGGAAATAAAATCATGGTTTGCATCCTCCTCATTATGCTCAGAATCTTCTTTGCTTTGTGGTTCCCTGCTTTTCGTCCAGCTTGGGTATTGCAACTACACAAATAAACAAGAAAAATGAGTCATAAGGATCATATATATTCATTAGATGCTCCCCAAGCACAAAGGTAGAAGATGAATACGCATGGGTAAGGACCTACTACTTCGTGGACCCAACTAGGAGATTAAGGAAACGGTCCACTTAATAATTGTATGGAAAAAGAAAAGAAAAAAATTGTAACTCCTAAACTGTGGATATAACAGTACATTTGGATAAATGAAAGGGTTCAAATGAAAGGATTCGAATATAAATAAAGATTGGCTATGGAACTTGGATAAGGAGCCCAACGGGACGTTGGATTCAAGGTTCGGGGGAGATGATTTTTCATAGTCCTTGTGCAAATAATATTTGCCGGAATGGAAATTAAATAACTCTATGCACCCTTTTTTTTCAGATATTCTATGCATGACTTACACGCGACCCCAACTCAGCTCAGCCTATTTAATTTATGGGGTGGTTTATCTGGTGATTTCCCCTTGGACTCTATGCACCTTGTTATATGAAATTCTTACATTTAAGGTTCTCAAATCAATCTATGCGTGTAGTTAAAACTTCAATCTAAATTATTAAATGATTTAAATCTATTTTTAAGCGACACTCCTTAAACAATTGAACCTACACCCATTCATTTTAAATCCTTCAATCCAAATGGAGCCTAAACGAAGTGTTTATCTCCATATAAACATAAAAAATAAATAAAATAAAAGGATAAAAAATTATATTTGGTAGAAGCATTGTGCATTTAAGTTACAGTTATGTGTCATTTCTTTACTCCATATCCAGCATATGTAGCATTGGTAGAATGTCAAGAGACATCAACAACAATTCAGAAGGCCTATTATAAAAGCAGTAGGTGTAAATTAAAAACTTGAATTTGTAGGTACAAGATGGACTTACGAAGGGTGGGCAGACATCTCTAATTTCAGTGTTCACAGAACCACATAATTGGCACACAATTCCAATCTCTTCATTTAGTTTATATTCATGTCGGCAAACTTGTCCATTGTGTTTACTTGATTCTTCCACATCTTCAGCAGGGACTTCAACGTTGGAAACCTGAAAAATCATTCCATCATGATGAAATCATCTATTAGTATATTTAAATTCCTTATATTTTGAAGCAATTTTTAATATCTATGGCTAAAGCTTCAAGATTGTGCTTTCAATTTTTTTGCATCTAAAGCCAAACATCTAATGTTAAGGATGGTGCAAATGACAAGCCAAGAGCCTTACAACCTTCCACTAGAAAATCCATCAACCATGTATAATATCAGTTATGAATCAGACCCTGATTTAAATTTGGAGATCTTACCTCATTATCTTCAAGAAGATAAGTTGATGCAAGAGAAAGTTCCATTTCCTTCCACAACATTTCAAGTTCTGAGCTTTCTTCATTATTGTCCGTTGAGGCCATGTCATTACTATTCCCGTGGTCCAAGAAGTTTGCTGCTTGGAATTCTTTCCACTGATCAATTATCAGTGGCTGTTCTTTGTTCATTGTGGATTCAATGTTCTTCATGCATTTTCTTATTAAGTCCCTATACATACCTGCACTGAAGCATCTCTTTCTGGAAGTTCTTGAATCATCGTAACTCTCAATTTGTGTTCGGATGGAAGAATATGTTTTTCCTGGGTATTTTTTATGTGATTTCTTCCCATCCCACCCATCTCCAATTTCCAGATATTTTACCTCGGAGTGTTTCTCTTTATATGCTGCACGGGCATCTCTTATGCGTTGATACTTCGAAAATAATTCACCAATTGCTCCTGAATGATTGCTTGGAATTTCAGCATCAAGAGGATCCTCTTCATGGACCACCATTAGATCATTTTCGGCAGGCAGAGGAACAATAGCAAGTTGAGATTCATGCTCTCTTCCATCAGCTAAAACCGACTTGACCTCTCTTGATCTGATCTTATTTTGGCAACTGACACTCTCATAGGAATCATCTTTATCAACATGCTTGCCTGAGTAATATGCATGATCAGCCTGGATTGATAAAGCCAACGGCATTTCTTCATATTCCCATCTCAAAGGCTTGCATATCCCTGTTGTCCGAGCCACATTTATATCCGACTCTGACAAATCACCACAACCCAAGTAACGCTCAGGTTGTACATATCGCCGCTTGGAGCGCCTCAAGTCCATTAGATCATATATGGACAATGGTCCCACGTCATGCATGTCAGAATCAGATCCCTCTTCAGGAGAACGAACGGGAACAAATGGAACTAGGATAGGGATCAAAATTCCATCCTCTAATTTGAAATTTATAGAATTTGAATGCTTACCAGACTTCAATGGACGCTTGCCATGATCATCATCACAAATTATGTAGACAATCCTGTTCTGTATTGATCTTACATCAAATACAATTTGCTTCAGGACAGATGCAACGACTAACCATGATAGGTCAGATGAGAATTTACCAGTGAACAATTTAAAAGTTTGCAGTGAAGAGCAGTCCTCAGAGAAGTTCCATCGGTAGTGCTCATTTTCACAAGGATTATGTTTAAGCTTTTGAAGGATGGAAATTTGATCAATTTGCACCATGTTGATCTCTTTACTAAGCGATTTCTTTGACATACTAGGAGGGCCTTGGGAAGCATAGAAGCTGACGTAAAACTGGCAATCACATTTAGATTGATGAGGCTTCCTCTCGATGGATTTTATTTTAGCATCGAACCAGACCTATATCAGAAAGTGAATAAATATGGCAATTACCACTCTCAACAACTCAATACATACAGAAACAAACATGTATACTTGAATACTTCTGAAAAAACATGTACAAAAAAATAATAAAAGCGCAGATGTAAGCTAAGCACGTTCCAGTTAAAGTGATATGTCAACAGGAAAATCATTTTTCTAGAGTATCTCAGGTGTGAGATAATTTTTTACTATTCTGACGTGTTTGGTGGTAGTAGCATTTCAATATTTATGTTTTCTTTTTTCAATATTTATGTTTCCCCTCTCTTGGAAATCATCTTATGTGATAAAGAAGTAGAATTCTATTACCAGCACCTAAAGGAATTTCTTTAGTTTATCTAAAAAACAGGTACAAGTATCCTCTTGGCCTTTTACTCCAGCACCAGAATATGTATTGTGCCAAGAGGATGTTAACATAAAATGGTTCTTGTTCGATAAAGTGAAAAGCTAAAAGAACAATAATAGATTGTTACAGTCAAAGTAAGAGATGCAAAGATCTCAAAAGTACACAAACTGCCAGATTAAATGTTCATAAAAAAGATGAAGACATTATGGGGAAAGGAATTACCGGCACAACACACGCACAAACAATATATCATGTAGGTTGCAGCCTAATGGCCTAGCAGCTTTCAGAAAATGAAAAAAAAAAAAAAAAAAAAAAAAAAATTGCCTTTTTTATCTGAATTTTTTCTGAGGGGAAAAAGAAGGGGGCATGTACCATTCAACAAATTACTTCAACAATCAGAAATTAGAAATTCTGTGGAAATGTGTGTAAGTCTAAAAGATCTATTGCATGGGAATACAAGTAGTACAACCAACTTTCAGTATAATGTGAAGCAACATATTACCTATCCCAAAAGGAGAGAAAGAGAGAGTAATGTGTAGTGCGTATTAAGTCATACAATAGCATATTCAAAGCACCAGTAATGCAGCTCTAACTAAAATAAATAGTTACTTACAGGCTCCAGGTTTTCCTCTTCGCCTGAATTTTCTTCATGCTGAGGGGTCACAAGTGTACAAATATCAAGTCCAGGCCTCAAAAAGCAGGTGCAATCAGACAAAATTGCTTTCCTCGACCTTATTCTGAGGTTTGACATGGGAATATTCTCCACAATTTCAACTTCATTATCTACCAAATGCATGGCAATAGCCCCATCCTTAATTCTTAAGCGCTCCACAGGTTTCCATGAACCATAATGAAAAGTCTCAAAAGCTGTTTGGCAGCCATCAAGAACGAAGTTAGAATCGTAAAACAGAAACAATATTGTATATGTTTTGCCGAAACTGCAAGATTAAAGGGCAATTTGTTTTCATGAAATTGAACCCATTTCTTTTTGTCTTCGATAGCAATTAAAAATGAGTCTCTATTTTGCTGTGTCAAAGTATTGATAGGATTGCATGGAAGTTTAAAACAGAAAATTTTATGTGGTGTAAATAAGTAGATTAAGGACTAGGATCCATCTACTAATTTAAAACGTCGATTTAACCAAGGTAATTCAAAGAGTTCCGGCAAGTTCATCCTTGAAAAAATTCTGTATTGACAGAGCTTCAATCACGACGAGCAAAATCTGACGAGGTTATAGGTTTGGATGAGTCCTAAGAAAGCTCAGATCAATCTGTTTGGGTATCTATGCAAATGAAACATAATGAAGAAAAAAAAAAAAAAAGAAAAGAAAAAAGAATAAAGTGAAGCTAAAGGAGGCAGTGAATCACACTTACGAAATGCATCAAATGGATGTGTGCTATTATGTAAATGCCTTCCCTTCATGATTGCTTAGCAAGCTAGCTCAACCTTCTTGATCCTCCAGCAGAAAGGAAAAAAAGTAAATGGTGTCAGTTTCTGTACCTGCAATGCATTGTCCACTAGGCACATTTTAGATTAGTAACAACAAAAATAAATGGTGTCAGCCAAGAATCTAGGTACTACATCGGTAACGATTTCTAAGTTAGGTAGAATGAAAAGATTGTAAATTTTTTCCAATTTTCATAAAAAATTATATCTAATCCACCGCCTTTGTAACCACAAGACCCTAAGAAACTACCAAATGGTGCAATATAAACATTTTTTTCTAGCCAGACACAAATAGAAAACTACATTTATCACATGCAATGTCAAGTTTTCAAAATAACATGGTGTACGACAATATAGAATTTTCCAAACTTCACTAACATTACATTGATAATAATAACATGCAGCCTAACCCAACTGTTTGGAGAACCCCAAATTTTACAGTACTGAAAATCATCATATATATCCATAGATTCACATCCTCTTTCTAAAAGTACCACTCACAAGTCTTCCATTAGCTCACTAAAATTTCCTAGATATTCTGTACTAAAACCCATTGATAAATCACTCTATTCTCTTACCATCAAAACATACATATGGTACACAGCACAAAAATACACACATATACATACATAAACATATATATATTTCGAGAGAGAATGAGCCATATATAGCAGAAGTTAACATATGATGTTCAGACAAGTAGATATCGTAATCTAAGAAAGGTTAAGACTTACCGAGCGCAAAATTATGCACGTTTACCAAAAATCCCCAAAAAAGCAAAAGAAGAAACTGAAAGTAAAAGAAAAAAAAAAAAAACAAAGAAAAAAGAAAAAGAAAAAAAAAAACAAAGTTTACCAAATTGGGGTACCGAAGTTAAAGAAGGCAACAGCATCAGAGTTTTCCTGGAAAAGAAAAATGATGGAAACTGATAAACAACTACAGTGGTCAGGAAATTTTCCAGGAAAATCCAAAAAAATGCAAAGCAGAAAAACACGCGTGAAGCAATTGGACCTGAAAGCAGCTTAAGAGAGAAAACCGGGACTCAGATTCGGGTGAAATTCACGGAGTTGATGTCAGATTCCGGCGAAATTAAGCCGCAGAGAACAGAGTTTTGAGGCGATTGCTGGAAATGGTGTTGAACAACAGCAGAGAGTGACAGAAATGAGGGTACAGTTAAGAGAGAGAAAGATAGATATAGAGAGAGTGAGTGAGGCGGAGAAATCTATAGAATACTGATTACTGACTCAGATTCTCGAGCTTTGTATCGAATTAAGTGAGTGGTGTCTACTTTTTTCTGCATGAGAACGAAACAGGACACTGAAAAGGTGTGAAGAGAGGTCATCGGGACTCGCGCAATAAAAGACAGTTAAAAAGTAAATAAGTAGATGTTACAAGAGTAATTTTTTCTGAGAGTGAATCGGACGGCTGGTGGAAGGGGAGTTGATGATGATGGACGGTAGAGGAGCTGTGTGCAGTTTGACAACGTGATCTAAGTGATGATGATGCAGTAGATTGCGGTGGGTCCCATAGAACAGTGCGTCATGATTCTTAGTGCTTGTTTTATTTCCTGATTTATAGATCGGTAGGTAGGATGTAACTTCTGGGTTGGGCTAGTCAATTCGGGTAGTAATCTTTTCCAACCATATTTATGTACATGTTTGTGCGTGTACAGTTAGAAAAGCAATAATATGATTAATAATATCTAAAGCTCGTTTTTCTTTACAAAGTTTGTTCCTAATCCTACTCATTACTGTTCTTACTTGGTTAAAACGAAAATAGGAATGTTAATTACAATCGCGAAAGTGACTGCCTATTCACAATTGTCAATTAGAATTGATTCGTTTTGAATACATTAATTACTTTAAGTTTTTATTTTTATGAATTCTATTAATATTACTTTTTAGACAAAAATATTCTTTTAAATTATGTCTTTTTTCTTATCTCCTCTTTTAATCGATTTATATAAAGATGTGTACATATGTGTATAATAATAATAATAATAACTAATGTGATCACAATAAATAGAATTTGAAAAAAAAAAAAAAAAAAATCCGAAAAAGAACAAGATAGATTCTGAGATTTAAAATATATATATACAAAATTAGTTTTATACACGCATATATTTCTTTTTTGGTGAAGGAATTATTTCCTTTTCTTTTATTTCCTTTTTTTTAAAAATCAATTTATACAAGGATAATTGTAAAAATTAAAAAAAAAAAAAAAAAAAAAAACATATATATATAGGAAAAAACAAAAAGGAAGAAATATATATTCGATTTTTTTTTTTTACCTTTCTTTTAATTCTTTTTGGATATTTTTCTAGCTCTTTTTTTTTTTCTTCTTCCTTTTATTTTTTTCCGAATCCATCTATCTCTTGTGAATGAATTATCCTATCACGTAACTAACCACACATACTCGATTAAAATAGGAGAGAAGAAGAAAAATTAGATAATTTAAAAATGTATTTTTGTCTAAAAAATAATATTAGTAGAGTCCGAAGAAATGGGGAACTATTTTTTTATATTAATAAATACTCCATAAGAGTATGATTAATGGTAAGAAAAACTCAATCACTATTTTTTTTTTTATTTAAAACCCACTGCTTAAATGCTTAAATATAATCTTCTCTGAACTATTGAATTGAATGAATATTTTGAATAATAAACTCACCCAGCAATTTGGAGGGCTCCTCCATACTTTTAAAACCCACCAGCTTAATGAATGATACCCAAGGAATACCTAATAAATTTGATGTTCAAATTAGTGACCCACATTTCACTCCATCTCTCAAATTAGGTCTATGGTGTTAGTTTAATAATTAAATTTAGCGCTTAATTCGTTCAGAATTTAACGCTGCAATTAAGTGTGTTTAATAATACAATTTGAATACCACTCAAAAGGATAGGAGTCACTTAAAATGGGATAAAATTTTAAGTAACAAAGATATCAATTATCATTGAATGTTGATAGTTGAAAATTAAAAAATATTTCAAAAAACATTTATTTTTTAATTATTGCTTATAAACTTTAGTACTTAAAATTCAACTTTTAAAATTTTCAATACTTAATCTTCAGTTTTATCAAACAACACCTTAACTAACGCCGTCCCTGCACGCTTTCAATACTTAAAAGGGACGGATTTAAAATGCGGGGAAGTTGAGTAGGGGTTTTTTTTTTTTACAATTAATGCTAAATATAATAGTAAAAATATCACTTAAAATATCCCTGTCTCAAATACTACTTAGAGGTTTCAAAATCATGTGTTTGTGGGTGACTGAAATAAATAAATTATTAAAACAAATACTACAAAAAAAAAAAAAAAAAGGTTTAATTCAGTTACACCCCTGTGATTTGTCCAATCTTCAAAGAGATCCTCCCACATTTGCAAAAATTTAGTCAAGGAAATCCTCCCACATTCGCTTTCAACACTTATGCTATGTTTGGTTGGAGGGAAGAGAAAAAAGGGAGGAAATAAGGAAGGATGCTTCATCCCTCCTTCCTTTATGTTTTTCTATCCGCCCACTTTTGGGGGAAGAGAGGAGAAAAAGAAGGCATAACTATCTATGTATTAATAATTTACAATTTTAACCTTTTCAAAAATTTTGAAATAAATATCTACTTTTTATAATTTCATATAAAAGGGTATATTGGTAAAAATAATATAAGAACTCTCATTTCCTTCCTTCCCACCCAACAAGAAAAAAATATCTTTTACTATCCATTCCATTCAACCAAATATAAAATGGGAAAGACACCCTCTCTTCTCTAGAGATATCTCATCCATACCTCCTCTTATCTCTTCCATTAATTTTTTTATTCCTTCAACCAAACGAAGCATTAGTGTTTGTTTTATTTTCTGATTTATAGATCCATAGGTAGGATGTAACTTCCGGGTTGGCCTAGTCAATTCGGGTAGTAATCTTTTCCAACCATATTTATGTACATGTTTGTGCGTGTACAGTTAGAAAAGCAATAATATGATTAATATCTAAAGCCTCGTTTTTCTTTACAAAGTTTGTTCCTAATCCTACTCATTACTGTTCTTAATCGGTTAAAACTAAAAAATATACCGCTACTCAATGCTCGTGTTCAGTTCATTCCCGAGAAAATGGGGAACTACTAGTATTTTTTTATATTAGTAAATACTCCATAAGAATATGATTAATGGTAAGAAAAACTCAATCACTATTTTTTTTTATTTTTTATAACCCACCGCTTAAATGCTTAAATATAATCTTCTCTCAACTCTTGATTTGAAAGAATATTTTGAATAATAAACTCACCCAGCAATTTGGAGGGCTCCTCCATACTTTTAAAACCCACCAGCTTAATGTTGAATGATACTCAAGGAATACCTAATAAATAGAAATTTGATATTAAGAAAAAGAAATGAAAAAAGTTTTTGAGAAATATTTGCACTAAAAGAGTGATTCTAATAAAGCAGACTTTGAGCGACACTTCGGGATATATCTTAAAATGTGATATTCCAAATTTTTATAGAAAGGTGTAATAAACCTTTTCTAGTAAAGTCATGCCTTTTTTATAAAGTTATTTATTAACAAGAGTTGTTTAGGGTACTTTCATAAAAAAAAATGCCTATAATAGGCACCCCTTTAATTTTTACCAATTAATTTGAAAATATATCAAAACCAACAAAAGTGTCACCCAAAAAAATAAATTTCCCACTTTACCCCAACTAAGGTCAAATTTGATGTTCAAATTAGTGACCCACGTTTCACTCCATCTCTCAAATCAGGTCCATGGAGTGGGTTGATAATTAAATTCAGCGTTTAATTCCGAACGAATTTAGTAAAAAGGGTAAGAATCACTTAAAATGGGATAAAATTTTAAATGACAGAGACGTCAATTATCACTGAATGTTGACAGCTAAAAATTAAAAAAATATTTCAAAAAATATTTATTTTTTAATTATTACTTAAAAATTTCAGTACTTAGAATTCAATTTTTAAAATTTTCAATACTTAATATTCAGTTTTATCAAACAACACCTTAACTAACGCCTCGAGTAGTTTTTTTTTTTTTTTTTTACAATTAATGCTAAATATAATAGTAAAAATATCACTTAAAGTAACCCTGTCTCAAATGCTACTTAGAGGTTTGAAAATCATGTTTTGTGGGTGACTGAAATAAATAAATTATTAAAACAAATTCTACTTAAAAAAAAGTTTAATTCAGTTACACCCATTGTGATTTGTCTGATCTTCATGGAGATCCTTCCACATCTGCAAAAATTCAATCAAGCCCCTATCAGACATTATTGGCTGACAAAAACAAATAATGAATGCAATAACTAATTTACCTTGTTTTCCCTATGTACACTTGACCAAACAATGTATTTTATAACTCCCACCAAGGTTAACTTTATTTGTTGAACCAAATAGCCAATAAATAATATACCATCTTTCAAGCCAATCACATTCTCTCTATAAAAACTGGGTCTTTTTCTTGGTTTTGTTTTGTTGAGAAAGGCGTAAAAGTGGTATCGAGGTGGACGAGATTCAAATGCAGGGTTGTAACAAGATGAGTCGACAAAAGGGGGATGAGCTATACGCAGATGATGAAGAAGATGGAGAGGTCAAACGGATGAGGGGAGCAATTGGCGGCAGAAGTGTTGGCCTTGGCCGGCTCTATGGGTGGCCGACATCGCGGATTGTTAGGGTTTCTCGGGCATCTGGAGGGAAAGATCGGCACAGCAAGGTTTGGACCTCCAAATGTATTTAAATCAGTCGTTGCCAAATCAATTCGAATAGATAAGTTACACCAAATGCATATCATTGCCCTTCGTCGACGTCGGAATCGTGCCATCGCCACGGCTAGTCGCCAGACCTCGTCGCCTCGTCAACGTCGGAATCGCATCACCGCCATGCCATCGCTGCTGCTAGTGGCTGGAGCCTAATCTCATCGTTTGGCCGTCACTGTCGATAGAGTCCAATCTCATCGATTGGTCGTCGGCGGAGCCAGAACCCAAGAGAGAGTTACATAATTTCTGGGTTTTCGATGGGAGGGGTAGGGAGAGAATCCGGTAGTTAATAATGGCGAAAGGTAATTCTGTAGTCCTGTGTGAGCATTAAAAGTTCTTTTTCTTGCTGGTTTATCCGTAGATTCTTTCTCTATCTTTGATTATGGCTTTCTCTCTCTCTCTCTCATTTTGTATTTGCCTTGCACATATAAATCCTAATTTTCTATCTCTATTTGAATCTAAAATTAAACGCCTTAATCTTATCAGCCTTAATATGAATTAATTTTCTCCTTTTTGATATTTTTATTTTAGTAAGTTTGCAAAATCTTATTCATTGTAGCTTTTGGATACTCTGATCTTAGTGTTTAGCGTTTAAACAAACAAAATCTTCTTCTTCATCAGAAGAAATTACAGGTTCCTCCCTTTTGAACGACCACACTTGAACGAATCCTTGTTGATTCTTTTTCATTTTTTTCCCCTTTCTTGTAAGCCATTTGCATTAAGAATTATGTGAATAAGAGGAAAGAGAGAATCACTGGAAAGGAAAGAGATGGGGTTAAGTTAGGAAAGACTGACTTATTAGCTTCCACTTCTCTTTTTCTTCTGTGTGAAAGCAGAAGCAAGAAGGACTTTTTATAAATTCCACTTTTTTATTTATTTTTTATTTTTTTTAAGCAGAAGCAAAACTTATGCCAAACGAACCGGACGAGTTGAGGGGCAATTTGGGTATTAAAATTTAATTTTTTGCTGATATTGGTAAAAATTATCTCTGCCTAGCATTGACCCTTGATTAAGGAGAGGAGAGTGATACGTGTCAGAAAAAGTAGGTAGTTTGACTGAATTTTTACAAATGTGAGAGTATCTCCTTAAAAATTGGACAAATTACTGAGGGTGTAACTGAATTAAACCATAAAAAAAAAAATTGTAGATTGTTTGCTTCTGAAAGGCAATCATTTTATTAAGAAAATAAGTGGGGGCGTAAATGGGTAAAAAAATGGATCACTATTTTAATGAAAATATATAGATACTATTTTTACACTTAAACATCACCGGTGCCTTTTTTTTAATTAAAAGTGGAACTACTTTCTCCATTAGTATTTAGAACACTCTTACACTGAACATTCACTACTCTTCTATACACTCCACCTTGTAAGGGTAAAATTATCATTTTAATTTAATAAGTAAAATGAATTTCAAGTGTACAAAACTACAAGAGTAGAATGTCAAGGATCACCATCCCCATTTCATAACACTTTGTGTTTTTTTTTTTTTTTACTTATTTTTTTAATAAAGAATATGGCATAAAATTATCGGTAGATAAGGATAAATGAGATGTTCAATTAATTATCCTATGTGGGGTTAGCCTAACAGATAAGAACTCGAACATGTTGTCATGAGGACTTGCTCGGTGTATGTAGTTTGTAAAGTATTGCGTGTGTCTTGAAGTGAATTAGTCTCCCCGTAAAATATGGGAATATCTCATCTGTAAAAATATTTATAGCTTCAATTAATTTCTTATCAAATTCCAATTGTTAATGAATAATATATCTGAATTATAGGATGAGATTCAAATCATCATTCAATCAATTAAAAGGTCTTTATATGATTCAGTTGATAAGATGAAATTAAGTAGTGATTAAAGATTTTGTGACGTGGTCATGAAACTGTGTTCCTTTCTATGTGACTTTGGGCAAGGCCCAATCCAGTCCATTAACGAAGTCCACTGGAGCAGAGGTAAGCCCACAAGAGGGTTTATACAGAAAAAGTAAAAACAAGTTATTTTGTTGCCCTATAATCACGTTTGAATAAATTCAATTAATATTTAAAATGAGTCTTCACTTACATAAATTAGAATTGTTTAAACTCTAAATCATTATTCAAACGAAAGTACAAATATCAATCAACCCTCTCTATTTTGTTTTTGTTTATTTTTTTTCCGGGTAAATAAGTGAAAAAACTGTACATGGGGCATTCCCCAGTGATCAAGATGGGCCAAAAGCCCATTACAAAACAAACAAAGCCCAGCATATGTGAAAGATGTCCAAACCAAAACTTAAAGAAACATGTAATCCAACCCTTTTATGCCTGGAAACAATATAAATTTTATTTTCGGTTATGATAAAGTAAAGCTCAATTGAAATTATCTTCCCAAAAAATAAGCTCAATTGAAATTAGTTTCCGGCCCAAAAGTACCATCCAAAATAACTTGTAATAATAATAATAATAAACGCATTTTATTTTATTATTATTATTTTTTTAGTCATGGAAAATAACACATTTACATCTTTTGTGTTTACGACAATTTAAACCCGAATTCAAATAATTTTTATTACTTTTTTTACTGATCAATACTACATATCGGTAAAAACATAATCCAAATCCCAAGATAAGATGAAACATGATTTATAACAGGTAATGAATTCCTTGTAATTCCAAGAGAACAGAATATATAGGTTACAAAGATGCAAAATGAATAAATTACATTCAGCTAGCTCACAAAGCAAGATCACAACTGAACAAGAGTGAACTATATATATATATATATATATATATATATATAGCGTCAATATCTTTATATTTATCCATGTGACTTCTCTGATATGTACAAGAAAAGAACAAAGAAATCCAAACCATAATCAGCTCCACAATTTTAAAACATATATGGACCATGAACTAACACACACCATTCTAAGAACTAAAACTAACAAAATCCACTGAAGTATCCATTCAACACCACCAGGCTTCACTATCTCTATTCATACACCGCCGATCACCTCAAAATCACAAATCTGATTCCGAATTCGCAGGCTCTTCCTCGCCAGCTCCAAGATTGTAATCCTCCTGTCTGTCCGGTTTCAAGAAATCCAAACCATAATCAGCTCCACAATTTTCCTGATTCAGCACTGAAGGCATGTCATGCCACTTATTGTTGTAGCTGGAGGTCCCCAAATGAGCAACATAATTACCCAAGTCATTCGAGGCAGGTGGACCGCAAGGGGAGAAGAACAATTTAGAGTCCCAAGTAGCTTTTCCACATTGAACGTTTCGTCTGCTCTGTAGTTCTGCAAGGCAGCCCCTGTGTCCGAATTGAGATTCACATGCTCTTCCACTGCTTCATTTATGGAACCCTTCGATGGACCATCCCCACAGAGTGACAATACTACCGTCACTTAGAGGCTGTTCCATTGCTTGTTGCTCCATCACCAGTGAGCTAGCTTCGTGGAATGCCGAAGCTCCATCACCATCGGTTCTTGACTCTTCTGCAGTAAGCAAATTAGTGGAGATGGAGCTTGAAGCTGTTGGCATCGAAGAAGATCTATTCGATGACTCGTTCGAACAGTTCTCTAGATAGTTGAGGCGGGCACAAGCACCATAAATGGTTCTTGCTGCTTCATCATACGCAAGAGCAGCTTCCAAATCAGTTTGAAAGGTGCCCAACCACATCCTCCTCTTACCCCTCTTCGGTCCTCGAATTTCGGCCATCCATTTTCCCCATACCCTTTGCCTTACGCCTCTATAATTGCAGTGCAAGTTGTCGGGTCCGCCTTTACCCTTCATACAACCCCTTTTCGATCCCTTGCCCGGAACTCTGCATACCGGCTTGCCTTTATCATCCAAAGAAGCTGAATTGCCATTGTACTCTTTCCACTCCGCAAGAGTCTCGGCTAAAGTTTTAGACCTCCTTGGCTTCTTGTTCCGATGGCTTCTTGTTCCGAAATAATCCAAGGGTAGAGAAGCTAAGTTAGAAACTTGAACAAGAAAACACATCCTTTTAGTTTTATATACAACACAAACAATACCTCAATAACCTTCAAAACAATAGAAAATTGAAAACACTAGTACCAGAAAAGAGTGCTTGGTTGCAAAGAAATTAGGCAGAAGAAATGAAAAGATAAGAAAAACAACAAAGCTGACATCAGTTCCTTTTCTTTTAACTTAATATTGAAAACTCCCAACCAACCAAAACCACACCAAATATGTTCCTTATTTTCTTGATACCCAATAATATCCTAAAAAGATTTCATTTCTTTGTTGGTACCCAAGAAACTGAAACCAAAACTGACTTTCCATATTTAGCAATTTCTCAATAAGACTGATGAGTATAATTAAAAACAATCAAAATATCAACCCAACTTCGCCAGAGTTCAATAAAAATGTTTAAATCCTTAGCTGTCAATGGACTAATAAACAATTTTGACATCTAAAACAGTTTATCAATCAAATAACCAATTCTCACAGGGGAAAGGGAAAAAGAAATAAAACTCTAAAACCCTATATTATATTAATAATAAAAAATATTTAAACAAAATCTAATATTCTACAACCCAATATTCAAGAACAAAATTGTCTTCCCATCAAGAGACTCTAATGCTATAAAAAAAAATTAAGTTACCAGAAAATCAATATTTAAGCAAAACCCAATATTCGACCCACCTCACTTTTACTATTTTTTTTTTTTTATCTTATTCGGTTTGGAGGAGATTACTATGCACTCCGTATACGTATTTGAAAACATTTCACGATTTTATACAACTTGTCATGTATGCATTTTTTAATAAACTATTTATCTCAAAAATAGTTCTAATTTGAGATTTCAACATTATACAATAGGGCGTTTAGAGGATGGGATTGAAAAAATTATAATATACAGTCACTCAAACTTTTCACCCACACTTTTGAAGTTATATATAATAAACCCATATGCATCTTAGATATGTGATTAACATACTAAGATTTAGTTACTAGAACACTACACCTACAAAATCACTACGCTTCTGAAATCTTCTCTTAATCTAATCAATTTTTACATCCTCTTCAAAGTTCTAAAATCCTTCTATTTCTTCAAAATCTGAAATCTTCTCTTAATCTAATCAATTTTTACATCCTCTTCAATGTTCTAAAATCCTTCTATTTCTTCACAATACTCCATATGACCATACTTCCTTATTATTTCTAATCTTCTATAGTTTTGAAATAAAAATATATAAGAAATAAAAAACAAAAGTAATATATGTGTGATTGAATTTTTAATAATATACTTTTTAAATATATACTATATTATACCCGAGCGTTATTTAAATAAAAAAAGTAAATTATAAGTGTACAGTTATTATCACATATTTTCTCAATGTATTTTTCTAACTATACCCTTGAATACATTCAATCCAACTTCATAATTTTAAATTTAATATGAGAATACAAATAAATTTGAATATGATTAAAAAAAATTCCAACCAGCCAACTCTTTTAAGTTACAAAAGTCAGAAGATAACTCACCTTGAATATAAATTTTGATTGAACTATACTACTATTTAACAATTTCTCCATTGAAAAAAAAAAGGTGCAGAGGACAATAGAAGCATAGTTTTGTAACACTATCTTATAATATATTTCAAAAAAAAGAAAAGAAAAAAAGATTCAAGATTGTTTAATTTAAAAAAAACAATAATAAAAGTATTTTGATGGTTTGGTGTGGGAGAATTTTTAGACTGTACGACACGAGTTTGGTGATTTTAACTTTTAGCATTTCAATATCTATGTTTCCTGTCTCATTAGAAATCATCCTATGTGATAAAGAAGCATCTAAAAGAAGTTTTTTTTTAGTTTTCCTGAAAAACAAGTACAAGTATCATCTTGACCTTTTACTCACCAGAATATGTATTTTGCCAAGAGGATTTTAACACAAAACGGTCCTTGTGTCGAACTAACCGCAACGAACTTAGAACAAGAAACTGTCAGAATTTATTATTATTATTATTATTATATAAATATTTTTAGTACAGTCAGCGACTAATCAGTGACATGAGTTTTAAGGAAGCCTCGAGTACACGACTTTATGGATACTACTGTTTCACAAGCACAACAATTGAGATGGATTGCTCTGGACAGTTAAGTTGAATTTCGATGCTACAAATAGAGCTCATTCAAAGGAAGCTGCAACTGGTATGATTCTCAGTAAATCAACCGAAAAGGTTTTAAAAGGGGCCATTCACTTCTTCCTAAGGATAGCATTAGCCATAATAGCCGAGGCTAAGTCTGCTAGATTGGCCTTGGAAATGGCATAAGCAAGGATTTTACAGGGTGGTTATGGAAGGGACTGCAGTTTAATTCGGCCAACGAATGTTGTTGTAAATATTGCTTCAATTTATAAAGACATTCATGATATTATGCGATCGCATAGCAATGGGAGAATGGAATGGCTCAAGAGACAAGCAAATAGTATGGCGCGTGATCTTGCTCCATATGCAATTCAACAAAGAGCCACGATTTGTTATTCATATGTTTTTCCTGCTTTCATTGAAGAGATGGCAACGTACGAGAGATTGTAATTATCTTTGATCTTTTCTAATGAAGCTTTTAAAAAATAAAAGATACTGTCAGATTAAAAGTTCATAAAGAAGATGAAGGTATTACCGGGAAAGAAATTACCCGCGCAACACACACACACACACAAGATATCATGTCAGTTGCAGACTAATGACCTAGCAGCTTCTAGAAAAAAGAAAAAAGAAAGGGCTGCATGTATTGTGCAACATTTTGCTTCAACCATCAGAAATAATATGTTCTGTGGAAATGTGTCGTAATCTGAAAGATCTACTGCATAGTAATACAAGTAGTTCAACCATCAGTACAATGTGAAGCAGCTTATAACCTAATCCCAAAAGGGGAAAGAAAAATTAATGTGAAGTGCATATGTAGGTCAAACGATAGAATTTTCAAAGCACCAGTAATACAGCTCCAATTAAAATAAATAGGTACTTACAGGCTCCAAGTTTTACTCTTCCCCTGAATTTTCTGCATGCCAAGAAATCGAAAGAGCACAAATATCATGCCGAGTTCTCAAAAAACAGGTGCAATCATACTTGATTTCATTGACCTTATTCTGAGGTTTGAGATGGAAATATTCTCCACAATCTCAACTTCATTGTATACCAAATGCATGGCTATAGCCTCATTCTTAACTCTTAAGCGCTCCACAGCTTGCCATGAACCATAATGAAATGTCTCCAAAGCTGTTTGGTGGCCATCAAGAACGAAGTCAGAATTGTAAAACAGAAACAATATTGAATATGAAATTTTTTTTTTTCCCTTTTTCTAACAATTCTCAAAATCCTGACCTAAGAGTTTGCTACACAAGCCAACTCTTTAAGTTACAGAAGTCAGAAGAAAACACACCTTGAATATAAATTTTTATTCAACTGTACTACCAAATGACCTATGATATTATTGAACAGTTTCTCCAATAAATAAAAAAATGTCTAAAGGAGAATAGAGGCATCGGTTGTGTAACACTATAGTTCAAAAAAAAAAAAAAAAAAATGAAATAAGGAGATTTTTTTTTGCTATTCTGACATGAGTAAGGTGGTGGTAGTATTTCAATATTTAATTTTTTTTTTCTTTCAAAATTTATGTTTCCTCACTCATGGAAATCATCCTATGTGATAAAGAAGTAGAATGCTATTAGCAGCACCTAAATGATTTTTTTTTTAGTTTTCCTGAAAAACAGGTACTAGTATCATCTTGCCCTTCTACTCCAGCACCTATTGTGCCAAAAGAGGATGTGATGTAGGACACAAGAGCAGCGTAAACACAACCTTATGGGTACCTACTGTTTTACAAGCACAACAAGTGAGATGGATTGCTGCTATGTATGAATGGGCAGTTTAAGTTGAATTTCAATGCTACGTATAGATCTCATTCAAAGGAAGCTGAAACTGCTATGGTTCTCAATGACTCAACTGGAAAGGTTTTAAACGTGGTCATTCACTTCTTCCCAACATTAGCATCAGCCTTGATAGCTGAAGCTATGTCTGCTACATTGGACTTGAAGTGGCAGAAGCATGGGACTTAACAGGGGTGGTGATCGAGGGACGAGGGGACTGCAGTTTAATTCAGCCAACGAATGTTGTTGTAAGTATTTGATTCAATTTATAAAGACATTCATGATATTATTCGATTGAATAGCAAGGGCGGAATGGCATGGTTTAAGAGACGAACAAATAGCATGGCTCATGATCTTGCTCAGTATACATTTCAACAAAGAGCCATGATTTGTTATTCAGATGTTTTTCCTGCTTTCATTGAAGAGATGGCGACGAGTGATTGTAATTCTCTTTGTTCTGTTCTAGTGAAAGCTTTCTTGCCTTAAAAATAGAAAAAAAACTGTCAAATTAAAAGTTCATAAAAAAGATGAAGATATTATGGGGAAAGATATTACCCACGCAACAAAGACACAGACACACACACTCAATATCATGTCAATTGCAGACTAATGACCTAGCAGTTTCTAGAAAAAAAGAAAAATGTGGCTTTTATTTGGAAATTTTATGAGGAAAAAGAAGGGGGCTGCATGTATTGTGCAACATATTGCTTCAACCATCAGAAATTATAAATTCTGTGGAAATGTGTGGTAGTCTGAAATATCTACTGCATAGGAATACAAGTAGTTCAACCATCACTGCACTGTGAAGCAACCTAATACCTATCCCAAAAGGAGAGAGAAAGTATAATGCGAATTGCATACATAGGTCAAACAATAGCATTTTCAAAGCACCAGTAATACAGCTCCAATTAAAATAAATAGTTACTTACGGGCTCCAAGTTTTACTCTTCCCCTGAATTTTCTGCATTCTGAGGGGTCGAAAGCGCACAAATATAATGCCAAGTTCTCAAAAAGCAGGTGCAATCATACTTGCTTTCCTTGACCTTATTCTGAGTTTTGAGATGGGAATATTCTCCCCATTCTCAACTTCATTATCTACCAAATGCATGGCTATAGCCCCATTCTTAACTATTAAGCGCTCCACAACTTGCAATGAACCATAGTGAAATGTCTCAAAAGCTGATTGATGGCCATCAAGAGCCAAGTTAGAATTGTAAAATGGAAAACTATATTGTATATATATTACCGAACAGTAGATTAAAGGGCCATTTATTTTCACGAAATTGAACCCATTTCTTTTGTCTTCCATAGCAAATAAAATAAGTCTACTTTGACCTGTCAAAGTATTGATAGGATTGCATGAAAGTTTAGAACAGAAAATTTTCAGTGCATATATATGTTGCTGTAAAGTAAATTAAGGGCTCGAAAAGGGGTTGTATGAAGGGTAATGGAGGACCCGAGAACTTGCATTGTAATTACAGAGGTGTTAGGCAGAGGATATGGGGAAAATAGGTTGCTGAAATTCGAGAACCAAAGAGGGGTAACAGGATGAGGTTGGGTACCTTTCCAACTGCTCTTGCTTATGATGAAGCTGCAAGAACCATGCATGATCCTTGTGCCAGCCTCAACCATCCAAATTACAGTTCTTTGAGCGACTCATCAAAGAAATCTTCTTCCGTGCTAACAGGTTCGAGTTCTAATTCCACTAATTTCTGCACTTCAAAAACTGATGGTGACAGACCTTCTGCCTTCGATGAAGCTAGCTCACCAGTGAGTCCAATGAAACAAGCCACGGAATATGAAGCTGCTTCTTGGTTTATTCTAAGAACAAGAAGCCACGGAGGTCTAAAACTTTAGCCGAGACTCTTGCGGAGTAGAAAGAATACAATGGCAATTCGGCTTCTTTGGATGATAAAGGCAAGCTGGTATGCAGAGTTCTGGGCAGGGGATCAAAAAGGGGTTGTTTGGAGGGTAAAGAAGGGCCCGACAACTTGCACTGCAATTACAGAGGCGTTAGGCAAAGGATATGGGGAAAGTGGGTGGCCGAAATTCGAGAACCCAAGAGGGGTAAGAGGATTTGGTTGGGCACCTTTCAAACTGCTCTGGAAACTGCTCTTACATATGATGAAGCAGCAAGAAATATGTACGGTGCTTGTGCCCGCCTCAACTATCCAGATAACAGTTCAAGCGGGTCATCGAAGAGATCTTCTTCCATGCCGAAAGGTTCAAGCTCCAATTCTACTAATTTGTTCACTGCAGAGGAGTCAAGAACCGATGGCGATGGACCTTCGGCATTCCACGAAGCTAGCTCACCGGTGAGTCCAGCGAAACAAGCCATGGAATATGGAGCTGGTTTAGTACCAAAGGGCTCAATATTACAAGAGCTAGTGGAAAAGACTCGAAATCGATGGTAATGGACTTCCGTCGCCCTCTAGAGCTGGTCCATCAAGTGGTTCAATGGAGCAACAAGCAATGGAACAGCCTCAAAGTGATGGTAATACAGTGTTGTCACTCTATGAGGCTGGTCCATTGAAGGGTTCAATAAACAAAGCAGTGGAAGAGCATATGAATCTCAACTCGGACACGGGCTACCTTGCAGAACTACAGAGCAGACGAAACGCTTGATGTGGAAGAGCTACTCGGGACTCTAAATTGTTCTTCTCCCCCTTGCGGTCCACCATCCTCATATGACTTGGGTAATGAAGTTTCTTATGACTAAACAAAATAAGGTCATTTGAGGGATTAGAGCAATAGACTCAATTACAGTTCTTTACGACGACTTCAAAAACAAAAATGTCGTAGTTGTTTGCGCATCATGTTTCAATGGGAAAGAACGACATATTTTTGGGCATGCGGAGTAGAAGTCCAGAATTAGAACATGGCTAAACCCTTGTATAAACAAATATATAAAAGATGCGTCTTTAACCTGAAATTTCTCCAAGTTATTATGCATAACCATGGCAGTGTATTATGACATTACGAAGTCATATTACCAGGTTAAATACTTTTGGGACCAATTCAACCATCAAACAAGGTGTTGTTCTCACTTATGCCCCCTCAGATTCTTAAACATCAATTAAACCAAGGCAATTCAAAAAGTTCCGGCAAGTTCATCCTTATAAAATTCCGAATTGACGGAGCTTCAATCATGACAAGCAAAATATTCCAAGGTTTTAGGTTTGGATGAGTCCTCCAAATTCAGAAAGCAAGAAAGCTCAGATCAGTCTGTTTGGATATCAATGCCAACAAAAAATAATGAAAAAGAATAAAGTCAAGCTAAAGGAGGCAATGAATCACACTAGATTAATAACAATAAAGTTTCCTTTGGTTTATGAGGCAAGTATATCCTAAACATAATATTGAAACCCGAGACAAAAAAGTGTAAGCGCCACAACTCACAAGAATCTAGATGCTACAATTTTGGTTAATGGTAACTGTTCTTAAGTTCTGTAGAATGAAAATATTGTAACTTGCTTGGTTTGTTATTCAGAAAAGAGTACTGAAAGCTAAAAAACTGTATAAAAATCTGTTTGGTTGACAGTTTCTGAAAACTAGTTTAAAAAATGCATGTTTGAAGAGAAGTGTTTTTTATAGTTTCTTTAAAACAGTTTATGTTTTTTGAATTCTCGAACAATGTTTTGAGAAAACTGAATCAAGCAGGCCCTTATTTTCCCAATTTTCATAAAAGATCATATCAAATGTACAGCCCCTTTGTAAGCACATGGCCCTAAGAAACAACCAAATAGTGCAATATCAACATCTTTTCTTCTTCTCACTCAAACTCACCATCTAATGCTGCTTGTGCATCCATATAGTATTGGTGGATATTTCCAGCAAGACACAAATAGAAAGCTATATTTATCATATGAAATGTAAAGTTTTCAAAATAACATAGTCTATCGTCAGTATAATTTTCCAATTTTTCCCAAACTTCACTAGCCTTACAATTCGTAATAATAACGTGCAAGCCTAACCGGACAGTTTGCACTCACTTCTTTTCCTAGTTCTTTTTTTCCCACTAAAAAAACAGACACAAATTTTACAATAATAAAAATCATTATATATCATGCATTCACATCCTCTTTCTAGAAGTATCACTCACAAGTTTAGTAGGCCACTAAAATTTCCTAGATATCTACTTCAAGCCTAATAAATCACTTATTCTCTAACAATCAAAACATATATACGTGGGACCGAAAATGCTCAGTGCTGGATTATGGTGGTGCTCTAAGAGGCCCGACACCATCATCCTTCACCAAAATACAATATATATATATATATATATATATATAGACTTAGCCGTATATAGCACAAGTTAACATCACATATTCAGATGATGAAATATGGTAATCTAAGAAAGGTAAATTAGATATTTAAAGATGTATTTGGGCACCAAATTATGAACGTTGATCAAAAATCCCCAAAGAGGCTAAAGAAAAAAATGAAAACGAAAAATAAAAAAATACTCAGTAAAAAGCAAAAACAAAAGTTTACCAAATTGCGATAAAGTAAAGAAAAAGTGATGAAAACGAATAAACTAGTGCAGTGATTAAAAAAAAAAAAAATCCAGGAAAATACAAGAAAATGTAAAGCAAAAAAACACAGGCGTGAAGCAATTGGACCTGAAATTAATAGAGTGAACTTGGACTCAAATTCCGGCAAAATGAACGGACTTGATGTCAGATTCCGGCGAAATGAGAGCGGTAGAGAACTGATTGGCGGTGGTCCATGGAACACCATGAACGAAGTCTTGAGTAGTGTAAATTTTTCTTATTTATTGCTTGGGTAGGTCGGTAGGCTTGTGGCACAGTCAATTCTAGTAACTCTTTCCAAATACACGAAGTATATACGTGCTGCAGGTAGAGGCACGTAACAATACACCTTTTTTTTTTTTTTTTTAATAAAGAAATTGTTTGGGCTAAAACAGTAATTCAGAGAAATAATTAACTTGCAAAATAATACTGTATCTTCTAGTAAAGTTATGTTTATTTAATTTTTTTATTGAAGGATAAATTGGAAATTACGTTTATAATAAAATCAAGACAATATAAGTTAGGAGTACATGTTACTATTGAAAGAAAAATTAAAAATTATATCAAAAAATATATTAGACTAATTATATTTGATGGCACGACAGTTAGGAAATAACATGTGCAAAGAGTGAGTATGGGCCGGCTAGAATAGGAGAGATGTGTGTTGAGATTAAAAATGATCATATTTAAAAAAATTATTCAAAGTAAACATATGCATAATGTTCAAAGGTCATGAGCCAATATATATATATATATATATATTAAGTAGTGATATAACATTAGATAATTGAATATATTCAATTATTTTATATGAGTAGAGATTAAAATTAACATGGCATTATGTCATTCCTCTCAATTAAGAGGAGTTCTTCATAGTGTTCATTTATATGTGACTTTGGGCAAGGCCCACTCCAGAGTAAAGCCCAACTGGAATTCGTATTTTATTAAAAAAAACACACACACACCTCTTATGTTTCAGGTTTTTTTTTTTTTTTTTAGGTCATGGCAAATAATTAAAATCAGAATCTGGATGATTTTCCCTATTTTTTTTCTCTCTCTCCAATACGTGGTAATGTTTGATCTCATAATTTAACTTGTGTTATATCAACTCATTTTTAATCAAGCATGAAATTATTTTGCAATCATCAAAACAAAAACAAAAGTGAATAGACTGATGTGACACCTTCAGAACCATAAAACCTTAGAAAGATTAAAAAAAAAAAAAAAACCCTAAGAGAAATAATTTCTTAACCGCCTCAAAAAGAAATGAACATCCTCATCTTTAAACTTTAATATTTCATTTTAATAAATTGAATAGATACCACCCAAATACAATACAGGAGGTTATACTATTGGGCTAATGCCCCATTGGCCCACTATTTGATTCCCTATTTTTAGCAATTTTCTTACTGAATTCCTTCCTTAATGAGTGGTTTAGTCATTCTGGACTGTTTTCTTCCCTTTGTTTTCATACTGAATTCACACTACTCACACAGTCTTCCACTAATATTCTACTACTGCTGAAAAATAAAAATCCACCTCACAGATGACATGACATATTGGTATAAACATTGCTCCCACATAAACAAATGATTATTTTCCGATTCACCATTACAAGATGGATGGTAGCATCGTATCATCGTTTTGAATTTGAAATTAAAAGAAATTTAATTTAAATTTTAAACTTCCAATTTACAGAGATGCAAAATTTGCACAATCCACTGAGAACTTTTATTGCCTGGTGATAAAACCTGCCAAATGGCCACATAGGGCATGGGCTGGTTCAGAAGGAAAGCACCAGGATAGACAGACACGGTGATATGGGAGAAGAGGAAATTCAATATGAACAAGTCACACACAGCTCACAGAGCAAGATCAGAAACTCAACACAAGAAGCATAAATGTTGATATATTTATTTATGCAATATACTTTTTATGTAATGATAAACGCGAACACTGCCATTCATATTGTCTTCCCTAGTATGTACAAGAAAGAATTGCCTACAGGTAGAACCATCATCAAGTATCAAGTATTAGTCACACATCAACTCCATTGCTAAGATGGACCTTTCCAATTCAAAAACATATGGAGATATTTGAGAACGAAAGAACTGGGAAAGAAAAACATCATCCAAATAACAAAGATCTCTGAGAATCAAGCTTGAGAGGTAAAACTAAACTAAAGAACATGAATCCTCCGAATCGCCTCTTGTTGAAGAGAGTATCCATTTAACACCAGCTTTACCATCTCTTTTCATATGCCCATACACCAGTATGCCACCAATGACTTCAAACTCCCAAATCTGATTCCAAATTCAGAAGTCCCCAAAATTGTAATCCTACTCTCTGCCCGGTTTCAAGAAATCGAAACCATGATCAGCTCCATAATTTTCCTGCTCACAGTGCATATTTTCAAATAACTTTGCATCCCAATTCTGCAGTTGGTATACTGAATCTGAATGCCTTTCATGCCCCACATTGTTATAGTTGGACGCCCCCAATTGACCAACATCATTACCCGAGTCATGCAAGTATGCTGGAGCAGAATAGGGAGAAGTTAAAACCCCAAGTAGCTCTTCCACATCGAACATTTCATCCCAAAGTAGCTCTTCCACATCGAACGTTTCATCCACTGATAAGTTATGCAAGGTGAACCCATTGTCCTGATTGATATCCGTAAGCTCTCCCATTGATTCATTCATCGAACTCGTTGATGGACCAGCCCCATAGGCTGACAGAAGTGGATTACTATCAATTAGAGGCTCTTCTGTTGCTGGTTGCTTCATTGAGCCCTCTGATGGACCAGCTCTATACGGTGACAGAAGTCGATTACCATCAATTGGAGGCTCTTCCACTGCTTCTTGCTTTAATGAATCCTTTGGTGGACCAGCTCCAAATGGTGACAGAAGCCTATTACTGTGGATTAGAGGCTCTTCCATTGCTTCTTGTTTCATTGTGGAATCTGAACTCGAACTTGTTAGCACCGAAGAACTGCAATTCGGAAGGTTGAGGCGAGCACAAGAACCATACAAGGTTCTTGCCGCTTCATCATAAGCGAGGGCAGCTTCAAGGGCAGTTGGAAAAGTACCCAACCAGAGCCTATTACCCCTCTTGGGTTCTCGAATTTCCGCTACCCATTTACCCCATGTCCTCTGCCTAACACCTCTATAGTTACAACGGGAGTTCTCGGGTCCTCCTTTACCCTTCATACACCCCTTCTTTGATCCCTTGGCAGGGACTCTGCAAACTGGTTTGCCTTTATCTTTATCATCATCCAAAGAACCATGCTCCTTCCATTCTGCAATTGTCTCAGCTACAGTTTTCGACCTACGGGGCTTCTTCTTCCTGGAATAATCCAAGGGCAGAGGAGCTACGTTAGAAACTTGACCAAGACCCATCCTTTTAGTTTTGTATACAAAAAACAACCTTTCAAGACAACAAATTAGGACAATGGTATGGTATATACACTCTCAAAATCCAAAAACCGAACTTGTAGATCTTAAAACAACAATAAGACTACCAAACCCTAATTAACCTCCCCAATCTACACAAGGATATGCAGCAAAACTCCAAAATTAAATAAAGTTATTCACAGAAAATTGAACACTAATTAACATTCCAAGACTCGTAGGGGGAATAATGAAATCAATCTCTAAAACCCTAAAGTTCTAGAAAACCCCAAGATTTATCCAAAACCCAAAATTCAAAAACAATTTTTTTTTTTTTTTAAATAACATAACAGTCTTCCGCATAAATGCTATTATAAATCTAAGTCTAATGAAAAAAAAAAAACCCATTATTTGTGTGTGTTTGTGTGTAAAGAGGAAATGAGGAGTAAGATTATAATCGACGCACCTCTGGATAAATTCGGACGCCATGTGAGAAGAGAGCGCTGAATAATAAATCCGATGTGTTTTGTGAATCTGCGATCAAAGATTGCTTCTCCGCGACGAAACTAGGGTTTTTTTTTTTTATCACTCTCTCTGGGTTCTTCTCGATCAATTTAAGATTTGTTGTTCGTCTTCAGAGTGCTTTCTTCTCTCTTCAACCGGAATGAGAGAGTAAAAATCGAGCAGCGGCTGAGGCTTGTTTGAGGTATTTATAGCCTTCTCTAGATTTTTTTTGACAGCAAATATACATATCATTGACACGTGTCGACCGAAGCTTCATGAACCACACGTGGCTGTTCGGCCTGGTTTCCTTCTCTTCGGTTTTTTATTTCGCCGAAATTTCTTGTTGTCTTTCGGCTATTCCAGTTTCTAGAAGTTACTCTAATGCCCTCAAATGTACTCGCTTTTGACGTGCATTTCAAAGAGTCAAAGAGATGCGGATGTCATTCATGACCTTTGGCTTTAGTATTAAGACAGTCAAAGTTAAATGTCAAAAGTTATTGCCTTCTTGTTGTATTAGATACACTTAAAGAAAACCTTTTAAGTAAGAAATTTGAATTAATGCTAATTTAATACTAAGATAGTACAATTAAATTAAATTTGAATAATTAGTGGGTCATTGAATCAATAATATAATTTTTTATTTTTTATTTTTTATTTTATTTTATGTTTAAGGAGGGGGAGAGAAAGGGACTTATCTAATCCAAATAATATACTTATATATAGTGAATATGATTTTTTTTTTCTCCTTCTCCTTAATTTTTGAACTTTGACACAAAAATTGACAACATAAGCCAACTGTTAAGGGCCCGTCTAGCACGCGCATTATTTTAAGTGTTTTGTTTTTGGTTAAAACAGAAATAATTTTTTTGCTATAGGAATGTTTTGAAAAAAATCGAAAGCACGTTTGGGAATAATGTTTTGCTGTGAAAATTTCAGAAACACAAAAATATGAACAATTATCAAAACAAGAAAAAACTTTTTTTTTTTTTTTTTTTTGAACCACTAGTCACAAAAGTGCTTTAGCACTATGTAAAATAAAACAAGGCCACACCAAACATGTTTTTATTGCCAAAATCGACACTGTACCAGCGAAAAAATAAAAACAGCAAAAACAAAACGCATACAAAATAGGACCTAAATCAAAGAATTTGGTAAAGGGGTCTTGAATGTAAATTTTGATTCAACTAAACTATCACATACTATCAAATAATTATTTGGGTAAAGTGCATTAAACCCCCTTGAACTATTAGTCATTTGCAAGAAACCCCCCTGAACTACAAAAAAACTCCCTGAACAATGATTTTGTTGCAATTTACCCCCTTGAACTATTGGTCATTTGCAAGAAACCCCCCTGAACTACCAAAAAAACCCCCTGAACTATGATATTGTTGCAATTTACCCCTTTGAACTATTGGTAATTTGCAAGAAACCCCCCTGAACTACAAAAAACCCCCCTGAACTATGATTTTGTTACAATTTACCCCCATGACATCAGTTTTTGGTACCGAAAATTTTGAAAGACCAGTTTACCCTTATAACACACCGCGTTGTTTTAACTTATACACTTCTTACATTTTTTTTTTTTTTTTTTTTTTCTGCCAAAAGATGTTTTTCACCCAACACAACCCAAAACAGAGAGCTAGAGAGAGAGAGAGAGAGAGAAGAGACCAAAGAAATCCGAGGTCGGCGGGATGGCTCGGTCTCGGATGATGGGGGCTTGTGCGCAGAGGACTCGGTTGTGATGAGAGCTCAGTTGACTCGGCCGTGAACTGTGGAGGTGGCGGCGAGCTCAAGGGGGCTCGGCGGTGAACTGTGGACGACTGTGTGCTCGAAACATGGACGGCGAGCAAGGTGAGTTGAACGGCGGGCAAGGCAGTGACGGCGATGGGTTGACGCAACGGTGCAGAGAAGTGCGATATATATGGCCGACGGATCTGGCTGGTGGTGCAACGGCTATGATGGAGCTATGACAGGAGACCCACCGATCCCAGCAACAGATTTCTTGGCTTATCCAAACACTCCTCAGACGACATCTACCATTCCGATCCCAGCCACAAATTCCTTTGCTTTATCGTCCCTTTCAGTCAATCAATTCGTGCGGATGGGGTAAACTGCAAAAAAATATATAGTTCAGGGGGGTTTCTTGCACATATCCCAATAGTTCAGGGGTTTTTTTTTGCAACTTTTATAGTTCAAAGGGGTTTTTTGCGCATACCTCAATAGTCAGGGGGGTTGCAACTTTTATAGTTTAGGGGGGTTTCTTGCACATACCCTAATAATTCATGGGGGTTTAATGCACTTTACCCTAATTATTTTATTAATAAATAATGTGTAGAGGAAAATAAAGGTATAGTTGTGCCATACTACCATATCATAGATGTTCATAAAATAAAAAAAAAAAGAAAAAAGAAAAAAGAAAAGAAAAGAAAGATATATAATTACTGTAATTTTATTTAATTTTAAAAAATTTAAATAAAATAATAAGATAAATAGAGTTAGATGTTGTTTGAGAACTCAAAATTTTCAAGTAATACCAACTTTACGTACCATTAAACATTTAAATTATTATTTTTATTTAAAACATTTAAATTCAACCGTTATAATTTGAAAAAAATATTAAAATTCTTAATTTGTAATTCACAATTAAACGTTCAACACCTAATTAAAATACCTTGCTTAAAATTTTCAATATTCTCGTTATAAAACATCTTAAATATTTACATTTTGAGATTATGTTAAAATTTTTAATTGTTCATTCTCAATCCTTATTCAAGTTGTAGATGTTTGAGCTCGACTTTGAATATAAATTGAAGAACTCCAGCTTAACTAGCATGACTTGCTTAGCCAATTCTAAGTATGGAAGTGTAATACATAAGATATTTGCAATAATTCTAAAATTTAATCTTCATGTAACATTTTAAGCTATAAACCTATGAAAAAATTATTACATAGTGCTGAAATTTTAGTTAGCACAATTTTTTATTTTTAAAACAAATTAATTAAAGTTAATATATTTACTTACATATAAATGGTGATAATGATTCATATTTACTATTTAATGAAGTTAAAGTCTCGTATGTTTGAAAAAATGAATACATGAAAAAACATGATTTACCCTTACAGAGGTACCACATTTATGCACATAAGTATCACTTTTTGTGCATGTGGGTACCATTTTTTGTCATCGGGTACCACTTTGTGATATCTATTTGAATAAAAGTGGTATCTCTATGCCCAAAACAAAAGTGATATTTGATGCACAAAAAGTAGTACCCGTGTGCACAAAAAGTGGAACTTCTGTGAGAGTAAACAGTATTTTTTTATGTCTACGTCAACGTTTTGGTCAACTCTATTTTTTCGAAACTATGGGATTTTGATTCCATCAAATAATAAATATAGATCATTACTTGTTAGCTCCATTTATATGTAAAATCCCTATTACACATATCAGCAAAAAAAAAAAAAATTAAAATTAATAATTTATAATGCACATGACATGGACTCGTGTCTCTTATTTTATTATTATTATTATTATTATATATAAAAAGAAATACGGTTACATGATGTAAGCATACACCTTATTGATACTCTAAAGTTAGAAATTTTATCTTCTCTAAATCAAAAAGGTGTATTAAAAAGTGTATTTTGACTATTTCTCCAATTTTCATAAAGATCGTATCTAATCCACAGCTTTTGTAAACACATGACCCGAGAAACTACCAAATAGTGCCAATATTAACATCTTTTCTTCTTCTCACTCAAACTCACCATCTAATGCTGCTTGTGCATCCATATAATTTTCGTGGATATTTCAAACAAAACACAAATAGAAAACTATATTTATCACATGAAATGTAAAGTTTTCAAAATAACATGGTCTATCGTCAGTATAATTTTCCAATTTGTTTCCAAACTTCACTAACCTTACAATTCGTAATAATAACATGCAACATAACCGGACAGTTTCTTTTCCTAGTTTTTTTTTTTTTTTGTCTTTGTTTTGTTTTGTTTTGTTTTGTTTTTTTGTTTTTTGTTTTTTTTTTTTTTTTTTTCATTCACTAAACAAACAGAGACAAATTTTACAATAATAAAAATCACTATATATCCATGCATTCACATCCTCTTTCTAGAAGTATCACTCACAAGTTTAGTAGGCCACTAAAATTTTCTAGATATATCATATCTTTGTTCTTCAAACCTAATAAATCTCTTATTCTCTAACAATCAAAGCACATATACGATGGGTTTAGTGGTAGATTATGGAAGTGCTTTAAGAGGGCCAACACCATCAATCTTCACCAAAAAAACAAAAATAATATATATATATATATATAACAATCAAAACACATATACGATGAGTTTAGTGGTAGATTATGGGAGTGCTTTAAGAGGCCCGACACCATCAATCTTCACCAAAAAAATATATATCTTCACCAAAAAAATATATATATATTTTTTTGGTGAAAATTGATGGTGTCGGGCCTCTTAAAGCACTCCCATATACTAGGAAACGGCACGTGCGATGTACGTAATGAATGTTTTATAACTTATCGAATTTTTCTTTTCATATATATTTTTTAATTTTTTTATAGAAATTATTTTATTTTATTTAAATATATCCGTCTAATTAAATTTTCTTTTATTAAAAAACTCACAATAAATATATAAATACAGAGGTTATATGTGATAGAGTTCTCTTTTTATATTAAAAAATAAATACTAAAATGTTGAAACTCTTTACACTTTTATATTTTATTCATATATATTCTTATATTATTATATATTTTATTTAAATATATCCTTGTCTAATGTGATAGAGATTTACAAAATATAAATAAGGTAATTTGTGATAGAGTTTTATAAAATAATTTGTCATAGAGTTTTATAGAAAATAAAATAGGTAATTTGTGGTAGAGTTTTATAGAAATTATTTTATTTTCTTTAAATATATAATTATCATTGTCTAATTAGATTTCCTTTTATTAAAAAACTCATAATAAATTGATAAATATAGGTTATATGTGATAGAGTTTTAAAGAAAATAAAATAGATAATTTGTGGTAGAGTTTTATAGAAATTATTTTATTCTCTATAAATATATTCATAATAAATAAATAAATGTATTCTTGTCTAATTAGATTTTATTTTATTAAAAAACACATAATAAATATATAATGTGATAGAA